CCTATCTGTAAAATGGGCCTGTGATAGGACAGCCCTCACAGGGAAGCTGTGACAGCGAGGTGAGTGAACACGCACCAGGCATGCAGGAGGAGGCAGGCACTCCCTGGGGGCTGTGTTCTGTTGTGTCCCTCACTATCCACGCCACGGGAAATGCTCTCTCCTCTGGCTTGCCCAGCACGTAGCTTGCGCCGGCCGCTCTCCGAAGGTCACAGGCCCCTGGGACCATCTCCCCGCTGCTTCTCCACCCATAGGGCCAGAGTGTGTCCCCCGCCTCAGCACCCAAGGATCCCACTGAGCCCCGGCCAGCGCCTGTGACTTACCTTGGGAGCTGCGGTCAAAGCGGACTCCTAGGGGCAGGGCAAGGGCAGAGTACCCCTGGGGTCTGCTACACCAGCCAGTGGGAGGGCGGTACCATCCCCAGATGCCTTGGAGACCAGAGCTGAGAGCCCAGAACTCCATCCAGGTCTCCCACATGCGTGGCAGGCACCCAGTTACCTGAGCCATCACCACCACCTTCTGAGTCTGCCTCGGTAGGAAGCCGAAGCCGGACTTGAACTCAGGTGCTCTAGGTGCTCCAAAATGTGGGCTGCGCAACTGAACTGGCACTTTTTTTTTTTTTGACAGGCAGAGTGGACAGTGAGAGAGAGAGAGAGACAGAGAGAAAGGTCTTCCTTTTGCTGTTGGTTCACCCTCCAATGGCCGCCACAGCTGGCGCACTGCAGCCGGGCGCACTGTGCTGATCTGAAGCCAGGAACCAGGTGCTTCTCCTGGTCTCCCATGGGGTGCAGGGCCCAAGCACCTGGGCCATCCTCCACTGCACTCCCTGGCCACAGCAGAGAGCTGGCCTGGAAGAGGGGCAACTGGGACAGAATCCAGCGCCCCCACCGGGACTAGAACTCGGTGTGCCGGTACGCAAAGTGGAGGATTAGCCTAGTGAGCCGCGGTGCCAGCTTTTTTTTTTTTTTTTTTAAGATTTATTTTATTTATTTCAAAGAGTTGCAGAGAGAGGTAGAGACAGAGAGGTCTTCCATCCCTGTCCGAAGAGGACGTGGGCCGAGGTCTGGCTCGGCTTGCACGGTGCTGACCATATCCCAGCTGCAGTGGCACAGGCCCAGGGCCCCGCAGGCCACCCAGCAGAGCCACAAGGACCTTGCCCTGCCTGCCGCCCAGGGGCCCCAGCCCCTCTGAGCTCCTAGCATCCCTCTCCAGGGGAGGTGCCCCGATCTAGAATCGCGGCGCTTTGTCCCCTCCTTCTGGTCAAGCTAACAGGACAAACCGGCATCAACGCGGCCAGAGGATGGATTCATGGGGTTTCTGGTGCCACCTGGCGGCCAGGCCTGGAATGGCAGGCAGCGTTGCTGCAGGTCCAGCGGCCGCTCAGATCGTGCGTGCGGATGCCGCCCGTGGAAACTCACCGGGCAAGCAGAGCGGCTTCCCGGGCTCAGCGGTTGAAACCCATGGAAGCCCCTGGACAAGACCTGGCGAAGCGATCGGCGCAGCAGGCGCCTCTTCATGCTGTGGTCAAGGCCTCGGTCAGTCTCCTCCGATTCCCGAGCCCACCCTGGCCACATCTCACCAGCTTCCACACCTGTGAAATAGGGACCCTTGCTAGCGCCCCCTACAGGGGTCGCTCTAAGGAGCGATGGCCACTCAGCATGGAAGAGCAGCACCAGTAACGGTCCTCCTGGCGGCCCTGGCCGGCTCGGCCCCGCAGTGCTTGCTCCTACTCACACACGTCAGCTCGTTCTGTTACACCAACGACACAGGTGCAAAGATGGGTAACCACCTAGAATTCTAAATCAAATCCTTCAGGGGCAGGAGCTGTGGTGTACCAGGGTAAGCCATGGACTGGGACGGGCCTTCCTGCGTGGGCGCCGGTTCTGGTCCCGGCTGCTCCTCTTCTGATCCGGCTCTCTGCTATGGCCTGGGAAAGCAGTGGAGACTGTGGTCCAAGTGCTGGGACCCTGCACCCACGTGGAGACCCTGATGGAGTCCCAGCCCCAGTTATTGCGGCCACTTGGGGAATGAACTAGCGAGTGGAAACTTTCTCTGTAACTTGTGTTTCCAATAAACAAATCTTAAAAATAAAATCCCTCCAGGATGTCTAAATTCTTTGCCCATTTTCAGGCAGCCCAATGTGAACAGTGCCATTTAATTATGTCTTTATGATTCGGGTTCAGATTCAAATTACATGGCTTTTCCGCATCACTGTTAACCGTTAAGCTGCCGGGCCCCGCCATGCGCAGAAGGGGCTTTGTCGCTCCTGCAGCTTTGCAGCCCAGGAAGAAGTCCCAGCTGAGAGAGGCAGCCAGTGCGCCTCGCGTGTGCATGTCGTGGGCGTTGCTTTTAAATGCACCAAACCCCTTTTCCTTCCTCAGAAGCGTGTGTTGCCGCCAAGGGCAGCAGAAATGGTTCTTGGGTCTCCACTCACCTGGACCAGAGCAGCTGACCTCAGCACCCATCCTCTCTCACTGCCAGGCAGGTCACCCTGGAAACAACGCAGCCCAGCCCTCGTCCCCGCCCCGACGCCCCCGTACGTGAACACTTGGCAGGGGAAGGCAGACACACGTCTCACACACTACTGCTTTGTGCCGGAGACGGCTTCCCAGCGGGCTGACTTCACGCTCCTCCCGGGGAGCCCTGGTCCCCACAGCTGTGCACAACCTGCCTGCTGCAAGGCTCCTGAATGCCTCCCGAGGGGGTGCAGCTGTGACCCTGACCCCACCCCCAGGTCTGGTCCCCCCAGGCCAGGCTGCATGGTGCCAAGAAGAGACCGTTTCTGCAGAGGCCGGGCTCTGGCTTAACCCCTAACAGGCAGTGGCCCTGAAAACACCTGCCCACTTCTAGGTCCTGTTGAGACACCACGTGCTGTCCACTCCAGGCTGTGCCATGTGGCAAGAACCCCGGCCAGCACAGAGCCCGGGACACCTGCCCCAAGCCGGAAGCAGGCCTCGGGACCCCCCAGCTAACACCAGCCCAACACTGCGAGCCACGTGGGAGAACCAGCTGGAGTCCTGGCTCCCGGTCTGTGCTGCTGCAGTGACTAGCGGAGGGAAGGTCTGTCTTCCAAATACATAAACAAAAAATCTTTAAGGAAAAAGACTACACCTGGGTGATGGCCTGAGGCTGGGCTGGTGAGAGGTGAGCGAGACAGCCGTGTTCTGCCCTCCTGTGGGGCACTGCTCGGCTCTCAGGCTCACCCCCCACCAGCACCCACAGGGACACGTTGCTTTTTCTAGTGGGTCTAGTGGCAAACTCCGTGCACCCTGGACACTCCTGCCCAAAGGCCAGACCCACGGCCTCTGGAACGTGTTCTCATGTTCTTAAGCTCTGCCCAGCCCAGTGCAGCCAGGATTCAGGTGTGGACAACCACCGTGCCCAGGGGGCACCTGTGTTAAGCATCTCCCAGGACGCTGAGCCAGGGTGCCTGCTGCCTCTCCTGGCGGGCGGCTGTACCTAGCAAATGCCCCACACCTCATCCGAAGGAAGAACCAAGCAGGGGACCATGGCCGCGGGCTGAGGCGGGCGCTCCTCCTCTGCCCCTCAGCGCCCAAGGCAGTAGCCCTGGGGTCCGGGTCCGCCCACTCGCCCCTCCTGGCTCAGGCCCTCACCTCAGTCCCCGCCCCCCCCCCAACTCACGCAGCCACGCAAGCACCAAGCTGGAGCGTGGAGTCTGCCTCAGCTGTTGTCGGTCCCGTGGGCGTCACGGCTAACGTGCACCAAGACGCAGCCTCCACAGCATCCGTGGGCAGGCGTTCTGGGAGCCCAGCACAAGGCGGAAACCGCACCTGTGTGTGTGTGTGCAGTGTCCGAGGGCTTACAAGGTGGGGGTGGGGGGACGCTCTGCTGTTCACTGCTGTGAGTTCAACATGGCGCAGCGGACCGGCCATTCCACCTCCAGGGTCACCTCAGTGGGCAAGGGAGGGGTCCCTGGCAGACACCAAGGACCAAGCAGTAAGGGGGGTGCACAACCCCCAGGTGCAGGCCACCAGTGGGGGCGGGCAGCGAGGACCCGCCAGCCGGCATCCTGTGCCCAGGCCAGGTGGGCTCTCAGAGTGTGGCTCCTGAAAAGGCCACACCACGAATGCTCCAGGCCATTCCTCTCTGCCCCATAAGCCCCATCAGACAAGGAGACACAGCACAACACCTGCAGGAAAACTGCAGACAACTACAAGTCGTTCTTAAAGAAATTTAATCATATGAATTGCATAAAAGGGGGTGTACATTGAAATCTTGGCTACATCAAAACTGCTGCTGCGGCTGCGGCTGTAAAGATCCACTAGTTCTACCCATCTTCAGGTTTATGGCTATAGAATGCGGGGGAAACAGGTATTAGCAACACAACAAGGAAAGTAACGCAAGAGTGTGTTCTACTCCCGGAAGCGCCACCCCCACTGCAGATCAGAGGCCAGGGGAGGGCAGCTGGGGGCTGGCTGGAGCCGCAGGGACCAGAGAAGAGGTGGGAGAGACCAGGAAGGCAGAGGCTGGGACCACAAGCTCCCCTCCAAGCCTGCACTGATCCGGCCCTTGGCCAGGGCCACCTCCTCTCTTTCCTTCCGACCCCCAGCCCCAGCCCGGGGCGGAATAAAGGCATCGTCTGCACGGAGAGCGCAGCCGAGGACCGGAGTGATTTGCTGGCCTTCTGAGAAGACGGGGAGAGGAGCATGGCTTTGAAGACAGGTTCTGTCCTTGAAGGCTAAGGGGCTGTGTCCGTGGGGGCTGGAGGCCCAGGCCCGGTGCAGGGTGCAGGACACACGGGGAGAGGCGCTGGGCTCTGCACAGCCAGCGTGAGTGTTAGATGAGGAGCAAGGATTTATTCCACAACAGAAACCGTGTTTGAAACAAGCTCCCAAAAACACGGGAGGGAGGCCGGGGCGAGAGGAAGCCGAGCACGGCCGAGGCGGTGCCTCCTCCCCGTGGCCGGGTCGTTGCTGACACCAGAGCCCAGCCGTGTGACCGTGCGTCCGGCAATGCTAAAGCACCAACACACTGGGCAGCAGTTTGTTTTGTTCTGTTTTAATTCCAGCCACTGAAACCAACATAGAAGTTATTGCTCAGATAAATAAACCTAGACTACCAGGAAAAGAAAACTGTATCGATAAAGAAAGCAACAACCAAACAGAAACCCCGAAGTGGAAACGGAAAAGTCCCCCACATGGTGCCAGAGGAACGGGGCGAGGGAGGGTCCTCGGCGAGGATTCACTGGAGTTCCTGGTGCCTCCTGCACAGCGCGCCGCACTCCTGGCCGGGGCGTCGCGGCAGAGCGGAGACGCCAGTGCCGTGCGTGAGAAGGCGCGCGCCAGTGCCGTCCTGGCCGGTGGCCCCTGCGGAAAACAGCACCTCACACCCCAACAACCACAAACAGCTCTTAAGGAAAAAAATACAAAAAGTGTCAAAAATTTTTTTAGTTGTTTTTTCTTTTTTTCAAAGAGTTCTGGAAAAATGATCCCGTAAGGAATAGAAATAGCACCGTTTACAGGCTGGCCCGATACCAGTCCTGCACTCTGCTGAGATTTCAAGAAATCTTCCCGGTGGGAATCCTGATTGACACTGGGCGGGGGGTCTGTGTGTCACTTGCGGCTCGGCGCGTCCTCCCCGGCACAGCGCACACAGATGTAGTCCTCCTTCTCTGCCATCTCTGGAGAGACACCAACACAGACCTGGTGAAACCACTGATCGCAGCTGCCATCACACTGGACCCAGTCCACCTGGTTACAAAGAGCAGGGAGAAAAAACGCGGCTCGACATCGGGCAGGCCAGCCTCAGGTCCTCGGGCCGCGGCCCCAGCGCTGGGACCGCTGGCTGAACAGCTAAGCCACACGAGTGCGACCACATCAGTCACTCTCCAAGCCGGGCCTGCTCCGGGCCAGGCCACGCCCAGGGCACGACAGCAGCACCCCCCCACCTGCTTAGCGCCAGGACGGTGACAGCCGGAGGAGCGAGAGGAGGAAAAAAAGGGAGGAACGAGAGTTTCTTCAAGAAAGGGAGGAGCCCCAGGAGCGATGGAGGAGCAGAGAGAGCAGTGGGGGAGGACCGAGCGAGCCGCCGGGTCGGCTCGGTGCGGCGGAGCAGCGGCGCGGGCGGCGAGGTCTAGCTTACGGGGAGGCGGAGCTAAGGGGAGGCGCGGCCTCCGCGGCGCGCGCCGCACTGACCTCGTCTCCTTCCGGCTGCAGGCAGCTGGCGGCCGGGCACAGGGCGTCCTCGTCCTCGGAGTCCTCCTGCTCCGAGTAGGAGGCGTCCGAGGGCAGCGAGTGGCTTTCGGCAGAACGGGCCGACTCGTAGCCACGCTCCCTCTCTAACTTGAGATCACTCGTGTCCTTGGGGTGGCTCAGTTTGATTTTCTTCTTCCTGGGTGTCCGCGTTTTTTTCACTCGGTCCCACCGCTCGCCGGCGAGGCCGTCTCTGTCCAGGCGTCTCTTGAGCTTCCTCTCCACACTGCTGCCTGCGTCGCGCTTGCCCCGGCAGCAGTCCTTCTGGGTGGGAGACAGGCCAAGGTCAACCACACGCGACCCTGCACCCACCCCAAGTCCCACAGGACAAGCGGGGTGAGGCGGCCTCGCTTCCTTCTCCCCAGACAGCTGCCAGCCGGCACCGGGGACGCACGGGTGCCCGCCAAGGCCGACAGTGACCGACCAGCGCCTGAGCCGTCCTGCACCCTGCGGGCTGCTGAGGCGCCACACGGCCGCGGTCCCACTTGGGGAGACACCCCCAACCCTCATGGCAGCAGAGGCACTGGATGACACCACACAGCGGCCCACGGGGCTCGGGCTAGTGATCGCCTTTCCTCATGCGGCTTGGATCCGCCTGGCGGCTTTCCACCCTCACCACGTTCTCAGGGGCCTGACAAGTGCCAGCCCCGGGAGGGACGGGCAGCAGGAAGCTTACTACGCTGCCACAGGGCGTTCGGTAGAGCAGTCGGCACCCCAACAGGACATCCTCGGAGTGGAGAGTGGTTGTTAAGTGACTCTTGGGCACGGAAGGCCTGCTCGGCTTGCACCGCCTTGTCAGCCTCTTGTCCCACTAGCACCGTGGGGAGCCACGAGAAGCACCCCGAGGTACAGACCAACCCACCACCCTGTCACTCGGTGGCTTCAAACAGGACCCAAACCCAGCTCGGAGCCCAAACTGACACCTCCAGCACCTTCCACCCCGGCGGCCGGGAGGAACACAGGCTGGATGCTCTTCTGGGACAGGGAAAAGAGAGGGGCCCGCCGACACCCACCTTCTCACTGCCGGGCCGCGCCGGGGAGCTCCGGTCGCTCGGCTGCGTGGGGCTTGGCTGTGCGAGTAAGGTCTGGTAAAGTTCCTGAATTTCAGGAAGGGACACTTGCAGCAACTGGGCTTCCATTAACAGTTCGTTCACTTCTGGACTGAGGCCTGTGAAGGAACAGACCAAGCCAGTGAGAACAAAGGGCCTCCCGTGTGCTCCGGAAAGCAAAAGACCGCCCCCTCCTCACCTGCGTTCCCAGGCCGTTAGGCTCACTTACTGTGCCTCGGCCACACTGTCCCGGGCAGAACCCAAGCCAGGCACTGCCGCTAACTAACTGCCCACTGCAGCCCAGGCCACGCCTCTGCCCTGGTGGCCTTTCCAACAAAGCACAGGATCGAGCTGCGGCCCAGGCGCGCGGGCTCCGAGTGGCCCACGGCGCTCGGCCACACACGGGGACGGCCTGTCCAGGAATCGGACTCCGGCTGAAGTGCCAGACACAACTCATGGGAGTCGCTTAGGAAACAAGCAGGTTTTAAACACAGATTATCTCCAAAGTGATGAAGCCTCCCTCAGGAGCCCCACTTGGCAGCCTGGTGTTCTATCATCAGCTGGCAAAGGGTGGATCCAGCTCCCTGGAAGCAGTGGGCACGAACCTTCCTGTTTGCTTGCACTGCTAAGTCTCTCAGTCTGATCTCTCTCTCCATGCAGCACACTCATACCCTACATGAGGATAAAGCCTCCTCCACCCCTCAGCACTTTCAAATATGTACTTATTTATTTGCAAGGCAGGGTGAAAGAGAGAGAGAGAAGACCACAGATGTCTTCCATCAGCTGGTTCACACTCCCAAATGGCTACAACAGCCTGGCTTGGACCAGGCGAAAGCCAGGAGCCAGGAGCCAGGAGCCAGGAACTCCTTTGGGATGTCCCACGAGTGGGGCAGGGACTCCAGGACTCTGGCCGTCACCTACTGCCCCCCCCCCCGCACATTAGCAAGCAGCTGAATTGGGAGTGGGGCTGCCAGAACTTGAAGCGGAACTCTGATGTGGTACACAGGTGTGGCAAGCGGCAGTTTAAGCTGCAGCACCACAACACCAACCTCAGGATAAAGGCCTTTTCTTGGTACCTCATCATCTGTAACAAAAACCTAGTACAAGATGACCTGTTACTACCCAGCCCTCAAAATAATCCTAATAAAATACAAACCATGGAGAGGGACACAACTCTGTCCAGTGGAGAAGGGACAGTGTGAATACGAGGTCCTGTTATCCCAGTCACCGGGCGAGGAAAGGGACGCAGTGCCGGGAGGCTGAGGCACCTGGGGGAGGAAGACACCGGTTACCACTGTTCCCACAGAGCAGCCTGGGCTAAGGCAGGCAACCAGGAAGAACAGCTGGATTTCCCCAAACTAGAAGCAGTCTCTTGGTGCCTTAAAATCGGCCACATCACCACCTGTCTCCCCTTAAGACAAAACCTTTAATCTTCCTGGTTTTACTGACTCCAGAAGGGCAAGGACACTGGGAGCAGGCCGTCTTCTCTGTGTGGAGCAGATCCATGAGTCTCTGGGCCTTACTGAAGACGACAACACAGGGAACAGGCAGGTCCCCTCCGAGGGAACCAAACAAAGACCTGTCAGCAAACACTCACACCTCCTCCCCCCTTCCCCGGTGCTTCAATCACGGCCTTTCCCCTTTATTCTCAAAGGGAAACTCCCAGCGCATCCTGGGTAAGAACACAGAGGACCCACTGCAGGCCCCCGACAGCCACAGCTCGTCCATGCAGGGAATGTGGCGAATTCACCACCTGCTGTGGACCAGGCACGCACTCAGACACCTCAGCAGAAACAGGACATTAAATCCCGGGGATACACATGACCGAGAACATCTCGTGCCCCTATCTGAATGCTGAGCTCATCTAATTCACGCGATCCCTGGCAGAGCAAGCCCTCCTGATTCCACTTTCCTGATCCCTCCACATTCTAGCCCAGCTGCCACCTGTGGAAGACAACGTGAAGCTCCTAGGCCAGCGGTGGGCGGGACGCTGGCTTCCGGCACAGGCCAGGGGCGAGAAACCCACAGCCCTTCCGGACGACACGGCACACAAACGCTACCATTCTTCCTCACGGCGCAGAAGATGCAGAAGGCAGAGAGCGTTCTCCTCCTCCTCGGTGCATACACGAGGAGGGAGGGGAAGGCTGCAGCCAGCAAACATTTTCAAGTGCCTGTGCACGCGTGCGGCAAGCACAAGCAGACGGAACATCCTCCGTGCAGGAAAGGGGGACACTGCTTACAGGAACGCAGCCACCTCGAGCAACGCGGCACCACGTGGGACCTTGGAAGTGGGGCGCTGGGGACAGCGGCACTGCACACCCGAGCTGCAGTTGCAGGAGCGAGTGAGGCAGAGTTGAGGAGACTCACCTTGCTGGCCTCCGCCGCCTGCCCCGCCGAGGCCGGCCGTCTGTGCAACAGTCCTGGGCCCACCCGGTCCTGCGCTGAGAGCAGCTGCTGGGCTCTGTGCTGCCAGTCCACGGTCCTCTCGATCATGTAGCGCAGCGCGTCCCCCTCGGGAAGGCGCACGCGGATGCGCTGCAGGGAGGCCAGCAGGGGCAGGATCTTCTCCAAGGGAGGCTTCTCCGACCGCCGACAGTGGGGGCAAAGCCAGATCTGGGGGCCTTGTGACACACTGGGCACCGCCACGCAGCCAGTGTGGAAAGCGCCCCTGCAGAGTTCACACTGGATCATGGGGGCGGCCGGGCCCTTCTGACACAGGCACACTTTCATCTCCACGTCTTGGACAGGCGACAGCAACTTCCCCTCGTTGGCGAGCCGGAGAGACTGCAAGGCTTCCATCTCCCGCAGGCGAGCTTCCCCGAGCGCGGCCATCTGGAAAGGAGCGAACACCTAGGATGACGTCAACAGGGAACCCAGGGCCCAGGGGTGAGGGGCGGACTCAGATCTGCACTCGAATCCTGGCTGTGCCTCACACTAAGCTTGCTGAGTGACCGGAGCTCCGCATTCCACTGAGGCCCAAAATCAGATGCCCACACCACACTTGTCAGAGACCAGCATGAAGTAGAAGGTAGGGCCCAAAACTGGGGGCCCACACTACACATCTAAGAGACCAGCATGAAGTAGAAGACAGGGCCCAAACTAGGGGCCCACACTGCGCATGTGAGACCAGGACAGATTTCCTGGCTCCTGGCTTTGGCCTGGCCCAGCCTTGGCTGTTGCAGCCATTTGCAGGGTGAGCCAGCAGATGGAAGATCTCTGTCTCTCCCTCTCTGTTGCTCTCTGCCTTTCAAACAAACCAATCTTTTAGAGAGAAAATAATCTATACACAAAAGTCACAAGCTGTGGTGTCAGTTCTATTCCTGAGTCCTTCATTTGTTGATCTGCTATAGATTTGTGTCTCCAATTACCATGCCTGCCCACCCTTAGACTCATGATTCATCATGGCCAAAAGGCCAAAACAAGCTCTCCATGGTCTCTCTTGGTTCAAGGGAGGAAATGTATGAATGAGGGATTAGGAGAAAAGCAAAAAGACCTAAAAGTAATCAGGCAGCAAATCTTTCGTGTATTACAGAGCTGCTTTTTTGTAGAGAGATACAGTGTACAGCCCAATGTACGCGGCTCATGTGATGACCAGACCTTCCCATAGCTTAGAGATGGAAGCAAAGGATGGATGACTAGAGTTTTCCATCCATCAGTATAAACACATGGGAGGTTCTCAGCCAGGGGCCCACACACTAGAGAGCTGTCATGTGCAAAGTTCCAAACAGGCATGTTCTATTTCCAGGGCACAGGCCAACAAAGGGCTGCGCTGCAACAACAGCCCGGCGATGTGCCAGCAGCCTCTGTGAGGTCCACACAGAGACACAGAACACATCCCTGCTGCCAGGTAACGCACAGCTGTATTCCTCAAGAAAGGACAATGCTTCCTGCTATCAAAAGCAACCCGATCAGGGGCATCTGGCCTAGTAGTTAAGCTGCCGACTGGACACCTGTATCCCCTCCAGGAGTGCCTAGGTTCCAGTAAGGGCTCCACTCGGAACCCCAGCTTCCTAGCACACTCGCCCCAGGAGGCGGTGGTGATGGTTTAAGTAGTGGGGTTGTTGCTGCCCACATGTGAGACCTGGACTGAGCTCCTGGTTCCCAGCTTCATCCTGGCCCAGCCCTGGTTATACATTCAGGGAGTGAACCAGCAGGCGGTAGCACTCGCTCTCTGCTAAAATCACACTGCCTTTTTTTTTTTAAAGATTTATTTATGTATTCGAAAGGCAGAGAGAGAGAGAGAGCGCTCTTCCATCTGCTGGTTCACTCCCCACATGGCCGCAATGGCCAGAGCTGGGCCAGTCTGAAGTCAGGAGCCAGAGCAGCTTCTGGGTCTCCCATGTGGGTGCAGGGCCCACGTGCTCTGTTGCTTTCCCAGGCACATTGGCAAGGAGTGCGATCAGAAGTGGAGCTGCTGGAACTCGGGCTGGTGCATATGGGATACCAGCATCACAGGCGGCGGCTTTACCCACCATGCCACAACGCTGGCCTTGTAGCTATTTTTTTATCCCAAAAATGTTCACTTCTTCTATCTCTAGATGTTTTTCACCTCCTTAAAGAATTATCCTTGAGTCAACAATGTTTATTAAGTGCGGGGCGGGGCCAGCATTGTGGCGAAGCCAGTTCTGAAGCTCTACGCAGCATCCGATAGAGAAATTTCAGTGAGCACCTTGAAGTTATTCACCCTGCCTTGCCCACGTTCCTATAAACTGGAAGGGATTAGAAATTAGTGCCCCAACACCAGAGAAAGGAGAAGGAAAACCCCTACTACGCACAGCCGAGGCGGTCTCTCTGCTCTCGGTCAAGGCTCTCTCCAGGTCGCTCAGGCTCTCTAGTTTGGTGCTTCTCTTCTTCCCACTCAGCAAGGGCTCCTTGAACTTCCTCTGCTTCCTCTTCAATCCCACAAGGCCAATATCACATCGAGGACACAGCACCTAATGCAGGACAGAGCAGACCCCCTGGTAAGATGGATTTCAGATAAAGCATTAGGAAGTCCCAGAATGAAGGCCTAAGCAGTGGGAGGGTGGGCTCCTTCTTGGTGTCTAACATGTGTCCGGGGACAAGCAGCCCGGGGCAGGAAGACTCCCCCTACAGGAAGGGGAAGACTGAGGCAGGCAGGCTCACAGGAGACTGATTCCACAAACACAACATACACTCAGTGACTCCAGTCGCAATGGCCAACTGTCGGCTTACGGGAAGTACAGAAAGTGCAGCTAATGCACTTGACAAAGGCACATGAGACCATTCGTCAGGCTTGCAAATCCAGGGTGAGGTGTGCGCAAGTACAGCGTCAACCACAGAGAAAGCACTTGCCCAGTAGCAAACACAGACTTCGTCAGACGACAGTGTCGTCCTAGAAGTAGCCAGGGTGCATTTAAAGGCTGCCTTCACAGCACCCTGACTGACTGGGACACCGCTTGGAGAACACGCATCCATCAGTGACGGCGACTTTGTACACGATGGACTTCACGTTTTACCCAGCAGAAACTAAGTGCCCGCCCTGAGCTGGCTGCAGATTTACCTCGAGGAGAGAATATGGCGAATTCTCAGTCAAGAATGTGTTGGCGGCACATTCTTTCCAAGCTTGGACCTCAGCTACCAGTGATTCCAGTCTCGGCAGAGAATTCAGATGCACAGGGATCGACCGTCCTCTGGTGACAAGCTCTAGGAGTGTGTCTAACACTGGCACACGTCCTCCAGCCTAAGAAGTCAGAAAAAAATAGCAGTCATTCAGAAAACCAATGCTTCCACACAAAATGGCAAAAGCACAATTCAGATTACTCCATGATGGCAGCATACTAAACACAGCTGTTAACAATATGGGCCAACTCACCAACTGGGGAGGGCAAGTGACATTGTTCTCTCACCTCACACCTAGAGAACCAAGTCTGCGCTAGGCTCCAAGGACACAGATGTGCCTGGAAAACACCTTGATCTCTCTGCTCTGTTTATGCCCTTCTTTAAAAAAAATTTATTCATTTTTTTATTTGAAGAGCAGAATTACACAGAGGAAGGGGTAGAGGCAGAGAAAGAGAGGTCCTCCATCCACTGGTTCACTCCCTAAATGGTCACAATGGCTGGAGCTGGGCTGATCCAAAGTCAGGAGTCGGGAGCTTCTTCTGGGTCTCCCAAATGGGTGCAGGGTCCCAAAGACCTGGGCCATCCTCCACTGCTTTCCCAGGCCACAGCAGGGAGCTTGCACCAGAAGTGGAGCAGCTGAGACTCTAACTGGCGCCCATACAGGATGCTGACACTGCAGGCAGTGGCTTTACCTGCTACGCCACAGCACCGGCCCTCTGTTCGTGCCTTTCTAAAAGTTCACCCATCACATTGGTTCCTATGAATAGTCAGGAAAAATATTCAAGAGAAATAAAGATCCGTAATAACGTAAGGCTGTCATTCTGGCATAAATAAAATAATAGTATCTAACTCCAATCCAGTCACTGCTGATGAGTTAAGGTAGCTCAGTATAAATTACTCAGAAAACTGAAGTATGTGTTTGAGAAAGCCCTGGGGTTCTCAAACTTCAGCACTGATCAGTGTCACTTGGAAAGCTTATCTAATTCAGCAGCTTCCTGAGTTCTATTCCCAGATATTCTGACTCCGTAGGGAGAGCAGGATCCACGAATGTGCATTTCTAACAAACTCCCTGGTGATGCTTCTGCTGCTGCTCCAGGAACCACACTTGGAGGGAGACAGGCAGCCTGGAGAATCAAAGCACGCTGTGAGGTGGAGATGCATGGGAGCTGCTCCTGTCTAGCTGGGCCCTGGCATCTGACGGGACTCCATACGAGGGAAGGACAGGCCATTCTGAGGCCCAGCGTGCCATGGGATAGCTGTCCTGGACAGTAACATGGAAAAGAAGGGACAGGGAGAAATTTACAAGATGAAAACAAACATACACCGATCAGGTGCAACACACATCAGGTCCTGAATCAGACAACTTGCCAGAAAGGACACTTCTGGGACAACAAAGGAAGACAGGAGTAGACTGATAATCCACAGCCTTTCACGTGTACTCTTACGGAATCAAACTGTTAGGGCAAAGAGGTTCTGATGGACAGTGTGTGGCATAGTGACTGAAGACACCACCTGAGAGCCCTGAATCCCACACTGGCCGGCCTGAGTCCGAGTCTGGCTGTGATTCCGATCCAGTGCCTGGTGACGTGGCCCCTGGGAGGCAGGTGCCAGCACAGATGCTTGTCTACTTGCCACCCATGCAGGAGGCCCCGACTGAGAAACGCACTCCTGGTTCGGTCTGGCCCAGCCCTGGCTGCTGTGGGCATTTGTAGAGTGAACCAGCAGATGTCGGCGCTCTCTATGTATTCTGGCTCTACCTCTCTGCTGTTTTGTTTTTGTTTTTTACAAATTCTTTTTTAAAGGATTTATTTGAAAGATTTACAGAGAGACAGAGAGACAGAGAGAGAGAGAGAGAGGTCTTCCTTCCATTGGTTCACCCCCCAAATGGCAGCAATGGCAGGGGCTGGAGCAGCCCACAAAAGAGGAGCCAGAAACTCCACCTGGGTCTCCCATGTGGGTGGCTGGACCCCAAGTACTTAGGTCATCATCCACTACAATAGCAGGGAGCTGGATCAGAAATGGATCAGCCGGACTTGAACTTGATATGTGATGTCAGTGACACAACACCAGTCCACAGTGACACAATACCAGTCCCTGAAAATAAGCTTTTAAAAATTACTTAAAAATAAAAATGTTGACTCATAAATTACATGCTATTCCTATGATATTCGATTTGGAAATACGTAGAGTAACTTCCTACCTGTAAACCATAATACTGGATACTTGAAAATAAACGATCCAGGACCAGCACTGTGGCGCAGCCGCTTCCGCTGCCGCCTGCAATGCCAGTCAGTATCCCTTGAGCACCAGTTTGGGTCCTGGCTGCTCTACTTCCAGTCCAGTTCTTCGCTAACGTGCCTGGAGCATCGGAGGATGGCCCAAGTGTATGGGCCCCTGTCACCCATGTGGGAGTCCTGGATAAATAAAGGTCCTGGCTTCGGCCTGGCCACCACTGGATGCTGAGAAAGACCTCTGTCTCTCCCTCTCTCTATAACTCTTTCAAAATAAATAAATAAGGAGCCGGCGCCATGGCTCAATAGGCTAATCCTCCACCTTGCGGCGCCGGCACACCGGGTTCTAGTCCCGGTCGGGGCGCCGGATTCTGTCCCGGTTGCCCCTCTTCCAGGCCAGCTCTCTGCTATGGCCAGGGAGTGCAGTGGAGGATGGCCCAGGTGCTTGGGCCCTGCACCCCATGGGAGACCAGGAAAAGCACCTGGATCCTGGCTCCTGCCATCGGATCAGCACGGTGCGCCGGCTGCAGCGGCGGCCATTGGAGGGTGAACCAACGGCAAAGGAAGACCTTTCTCTCTCTGTCTCTCTCTCTCACTGTCCACTCTGCCTGTCAAAAATAAAAATAAAAAAAAATAAAAAAAAATAAATAAAAAAAAAAAAATAAATAAATTTAAGAGAAAGAAAATAAATGACCTACCAACTATAAAGCGGTTCCTTGCTGTTAGTCACATCTCTCTGTAGAGATGTGTGCAGGAAAGAGCTTGCGTGCACCCTTGCAGGCAGTGCTGCGAACACAAGCGGCAGCACGTGATGTACGGAGGGACAGACCCACCCAGGAACACGGCCTGGCTCTCATTTCACTCACTGCTGTGTCCTTTCTGCACGGAGCTACCGATCAGGTAGTGAGGTCAGCACGATGACTGGGCCTAGTACTGTCAGACCCAGGCACCAGCCACAGCCGTCAGGAAGTTCATGTACACAACACACACGTCTTTTTCTTCTCTCGCTTGCCTTAAATTATGTAATCGTCTCAAAACAATCTATCTTCTTTTCCCTATTAACTACAACAGATGCCCAGATGTTGTGTTGGAAACACGTGTCTAGAATTGTCCTGTTTGGTATTTCTTGCTAGCAGCTGGCCGATTAGCCACTTAAAATACATGTTCAGAATGCCAGATCAGATTTTACTCCCAGAATTTGAAGACTTCAACAAAAACAGAACTTGAGTCTCTTTGTCTCACTAGGTCCTGAGACCTATTAGTTTAGAATGATCAAAGTTTATAAAGGAAGACTGCTCTCCTTTATAATAAAGGAACGCCCCGCCGACCACTTTTTTAACTAAGTCATCCAGCTAAAAACTGGGCAAAGTATAGAAGCATTCTTTCTGCACAGTAATAATCTGCAAGTAAATACAACTTATCTTATTCTTACATGAAGTCCATCAACTAGCACATGGCCAAATACTTGGTGACAGTTACTTTCCATAATTACTCTGATACTTGGTAGGTTTCGTTATCTGCGGGTTTGGGAGGGTCTATCTGTTAAGTCACGGTGATAAGCCTGTACCTTGGGGTGCAGTTTGGCCACAGTCACATAACTAGGTTCACTGAACCTGCTACTTCTGATTGCTGCAACGTTGCGGATAAGCCATCAAGAGGCTACTGCACTTTCTCAGAGCTTCATCTTCACCTTGCCCTCAAATAGCAACCAAGTTCAAGTTTGCTATGGAAGACTCCCCAGGTCCCACAAATAGCTGACTGAGTTGTGTAAGCTCCAAATGCTTTCAAGCAACCTGGTTGAGACAATAGCTGGCTAAGTACATCCAAAAAGGCTGAATACAACTAATAATCTGGTCAGCCCTCCAATACTGAGTCTGTGCAGTGAGATAGATCTGACATATTACATCCTTTTACAGCTTACAGGGCAAAACCAACCTGCAAGGCCTCTACGTCCTGAAGCCAGTCTTTGGCTCTCTGCACTGAGTCTTTCAGAGCTGCCCCATTGGGCAGATAGGCAGGGATCTCCTCAATCTCCTTGACTGCTGTGGCAAGGCTGTTTAGCGAATGCCGCGGTCTACAAAAATGAAACACAAAGAATTGTTTATTTTATGTGATGGTTCATTTTTCTAACAGTTACCAAAACAGGAAAAAAAAAAAAAAAAACCACTTCAAAGGAAATCCAGTATGGCAAGTCCATGTGACTAGATAGCAAACGAAACAGTTTCGAATGTCTGAGTGAGATGCAACAGCATCAGGGTGAGGATTTCAGACCGCTTAGGACGCCCCTGGCACACCTGCATCCGTATTTGAGGACCTGGGTTAGAGTCCTGGTTCTGCTCCAGCTTCCTGCTAACACACTCTGGGAAGCAGTAGGTGATGACTCGAGTAGTTGGGACCTTGCTACCCATATGGGAAGAGGCTAGTGGCTTGGCCTGAGCCAGACCTGGCTGTTGTAAGCATCTGAGTAGTAAACCAGCAGGCAAAGCCCACTGGGAGGAGGAATCTAGGGTTCTGAGGGATTGCTTCCTCTGTGTTAAGCTAGTCAGGACTTACAGTTTCTCAAAACAATTCAAATTCTCTAGGTTATTAATATAGTCAAAGCCAAGTGCTAAAAACTTTCGCATCCTTCCACTCGATCTGAGGACTAGAGAACGCCTCTGACCTGCAAGTTACCCCCAGAGCAACACAGCCTTGTCAGACAGAAAGCAAGCGTCAGGGAGGGCTTCACCCTCCTCTCCCTCGGATAGCCTGAGCCTGGTGAGCTCAGACACAGCAAGGGGTCCTGAGGGGCTCAGCAGCAGCCTAGACAGACAGCACTGTCTGTGGTGAGAAAACACCTGCAGCTGCCTCCCCTCTGCGGACGGCTGCGGGCTAACTTCCAGGTGTCTCTCAGCCTTCTTATTAACTTGGTTTGAAGAGTTCCACCTGTTCACAGCGGGATACGTCACCCACCCTCCCCAGGGAGCAACGTGTGTCTGCTTTTTTACCTGGCCTTGAGGAGACTCTTGGCCTTGTCATCCCAGTGCTCCGACACCGTGAGCAGTTCCTGCAGCCGGGCCATCGCTTTCTCCACTGCCGAATACGGGGCCAGCCCCACCCCCAGGTCTATGAGCCGTCTCATATCATCTAGAGTAAGGGAGCCGGGGTCGAGGCAAGCTTGCTGCACCTCTTCTAGCCAGCGGGCCTGCTCCAGCCGGACACGCATCTCAGCGAGCTGCGGAAGCTCAACGTCAAACTCAAAGCTGACGTCCAGCAGGTCCTGCAGCTCCGCGGCACTAGGCATTTCCTCAGAGAGCAGCTTCTGGCTGTGCTGTTGGAAGTCTTCCACCCGATCCAAGAGATCCTGCAAAAACGGAAGTCACTTCAGTAGCTCAGAATCTTAAACTCCTATTTGAAAGTGCTCCTCTACTGTCCCACTGCACTACAGTAGCCATGAGCCAATCAGGTCACCCACTGGCAACTGAGAGCTGAAACAACAGACGTCAACAGGCCTCACTCCAACTGAGACTGACTGGTAGTCACTCTCAAAGTAAAAATGGCCAACTTTCTCCTCCGTGAGCCAATTACAACCTGCACACACGTCCTCAGTGTTATAAAAAATTTGTTAATAAACGTGTGCATTAGCCACTACAGAAGTCTACTTCTAATAACGTCCATCAAGGTCCATTACACAGCACAGCTTCCTGAGTTCTCCCCCAGGCTCCTGTTACCTTCAGCAACGGTGTCTGGCTGAGGACGCACGGAAGTGCATACAACTGCGTCACAAACTGGCGGAGCTCATTCACCGTCAACTGATTCTGGGATTTTCCTCCTCCAGATCTGTATCTACAAAGACAAAGGCCAAAGTCCTGAGAAATCCATGTCCACAGGTTCCAGGCCGCAGTCACACAGGCTCCCAGGATGCACCACCAGCCACGCACCTCGTCTGCCTCTTGCCGGTGAGCAGCTGCTGCGCCACAGAGGCGCACTTCTCTGCGTCCTGCGTGACCAGGCGGAGGTGGCGCAAGAGGTCATTGTCCGGGAACTTCTTCATCTCGGATTCCTCAATTAAAGCCTTAAAGCTCACAAGGCCTAAGGATAAAGGAGAAAGTCACCTTCCCTGCGATGGTTGTCTGTCCTCACTGGTACGATATTTACAAGTGCCTTTCTCAGTTCTCATCTATAAAACGTCTTACATCAAATGTGTCCATTTGCCTCCCTGGGGGACGGCCGGGCACCAAGTTTTATAAACAAGGATACAGAATTATTCTTCACTATGGAAATGTTAAGATACAGCTTGTTTAAGAGACACAAAATCAGGAAAATGATTGATTTGTCAAGACAAAGTCCACGTGATCTTATGGGGGCGTGCCCACTTCTTCCCCTGGATTTTATTCTGTAGTCGGCAAGTGGTCAGTGTGCTCAAGGAAGTGACACTGTTCTCTTCCCCTGAGAGGTGAAAGAGATGGGAAGAAAAGCAGTGACTTTCAAAGGTACTAAGTACAAGGACTTTAATTTTCTAAGGTTCTATATGAAATGCGAGGTTTTGCCTCCCCCACTTCTGGTCTAAAACCTTCTTTGCTACTGCCCTGTTCGCCGAGCTGCAAGGAAGGGTTAGCCAAGGTTAAGGCCAGGCTGGCTTCACGTAGTCCATTCTGCTGATAGCTGGTGACATCCCAATCAGCTTCAACTGCTGACCCCCAAGTCACACTTTCTGCGCCACCTACTTTTCTTCTTGTTGATTTTTGCCTCCAAAGCTTCATTCACAGTTAAGGCCCACTCGTTGTAAGACTCTGCTCGAAGCTTCAGTGCATTCATCATGGGGTAGAGGTCATCCAGAGTGTATCTATATCTGGAACAGAATCCCAGGCTTAGCTTTCAGAGAGACGTACCCCACCTCACGTTCCAGGCCTAGAACAGCAGCGCCACTGTGAAATCATTCTTCCTACTCACCGCAACTTGTACTTATGAGGAGGACAGGAACACAACTCCTTGACGTGGTGCAAGCACACGAGCAGGCCAGGTTTACAAGAACAGGAGATGGCAGACATGAAGCACGTAGTTTTACATTTTACACACTGACGCTCATCATCTGGCAACAGCTCAAAATCCATTCTTTCTGAATCGATCACTCCCTAGAATAAAGGTTACTTTAAGAGGCTTCTAAAGAACAGTAAAACTCCCAGCCCCAAGACAAGCTTGCAGGAGGTGAATTAAAAAAAAAAAAAAAAAAAAAAAAACAACTTAACCCAAGTAGAGATGGATGATTACAGATGTGTAGGACACAAAGTAACAATGACCCAGCAAACAGAAGCAAGTGAGTAGACTTCACTCACGTAGGGAGAATCCCTTTTTAGACAAGGTAGGGTGGGCTTTATGTTTGGCCATTTTGGTCTGAGTATGACAACAGCTAAGAGGACTCTAGGACGACCGAGGTTAGTTGTCATCTATCCCACTGCAAGCCAGCCAGCTGCCATCTCTGTATTCTGGGTACAGATCAAAGGGAATGTACATGCTTTTGACTTCCAAGGAAATACTATGTAGGGCTTGAGGGACGCTGCTGGAGAAACTATGAAAAAGTACAAAAATGAGGAGGAAGACAGGCAGCCAGAAGACCACATGCATAAACAATGCGATGGAGCAGGGTCTCAGCCTGTTGCACAAGTTTGCTGAAGGGCTGTCATCTGAGTCGGTTAGGGCATTTCTGCACTAGCAAAGCCTCAAGTCGCAAGAAGGATTTCCTAAACGAAACGCTGTGAGGAAACATTTCAATCATACTTTGCACCATTGGACCCCTGTGGGATATTCCTTCGTCATTCAAAGACCAAACTGCTACTGCCTTTTCTCCTGGTCTGGAACCGGATCCAAATCCAGCCCTGGGAATGCTGGTCCTAATCAAATCCGCCATGAAGCACTGTGTTTTAACCTTTTCATGTGTGACAATTACGGACAAGAGTAAGGAAACACCCATGAGTGGAGTGTGGCTTTCATTTACAACTGAACACAAGGCCTTGATGGAATGGAGATATTTGGAATTCCTGTTTAAAGTGAGATTAAGGACTAACTCCAGAGATTTTAGCTGGGAGTGACCCAAGCAGTTTACACCCAATTTTCATCTGTGAATTCCACATCTGGTTATCCTTCTTCTAAAATGAGCGCTTGTTCCTGATGAAAGCCACTGAAGCTCCCTGGGCACAGCTGTTCCCACCTGTGGGACACAGGGAAGGCGGGCTCCAGAGAGCAACACTCTAGATTCTAGAGGTATTTCCAAGAGTAATTCAACATGTTCCATAAAATGGAATAAGATGTTATTTTTTGTTTTTTTTTGTTTTATTTTTTTGTTTGTTTGTTTTTTTGTTTTTTTAAAAACCTTCGAGGGGCTGATGCTATGGTACAACAGGCTAAGCCACCACCAGTGACGCCAGCAACCCATACTGGAGAGCTGGTTCAAGTCCTGGCCGCTGTGCTCCCTGCTGATGTGCCCGGGAAAGCAGAAGATGGCTCAAGTGCTTGGGCCTCTGCCACCCAAATGGGAGACCCAGATGGAGCTCAGGCTCCAGGCTCCTAACTTCATCCTGTTCCAGTCCCAGCTGTTGTGACCATTTGGGGAGTGAACCAGTGAATGGAAGATCGATCTCTCTCTCCCTGTCTCACCATATCTCTCTGTAGCTCTGGCTTTCAAATAAATACATTTTTTTTTTTTAAGATTTATTTTATTTGAAAGACAGAGTTACACAGAGGTAGAGACGAAGAAGTCTTCCATCTGCTGGTTCACTCCCCAAATGACTGCAATGGCCAGAGCTGAACTGATCTGAAGCCAGGAGCCAGGAACTTCTTCCAGATCTCCCATGTGGGTGCAGGGGCCCAATGACTTGGGCCATCTTCTACTGCTTTCCCAGGCCACAGTAGAGAGCTGGATCAGAAGTGGAGCAGCCAGGACTAGAACTGGTGCCCAGATGGGATGTGGACGCTGCAGACCAGGCCTTTAGTCTGTTGTACCACAGCACCAGTCCCTAAGGACTTTTTTAAAAAAAGGCAAAGCATTGCAACAGACATTTCATGGAAAACAGGTTCAGGTGGCAGATAATTTAGATAGTCAATGAAAATTAAAACTACTATAAGATTATTATACACCCACCAGAATGGCCATGAAGGGAATTACATAAATTAGGAAATGATATGACACTAAGGTGCATAACAACTTTATTATGTAATACCCAATGACACGCAATTGGATTTCCAAAAATCTTACCAATTTACGGACAGTTTCCCTCAGAGCCTTCTCATCCTCGATCATGATGGCCATGTCCTTCTGAACAGTTGAAGCCACTACCACGTCCAGCACATCCGCCTTGGAAGCCATCTTGCAAATCATCTCATCGTGGGAGAACACGCAGTAACGGTGAAGCAGGCGGTAATGCTCCACACACTGCCGGCCTAGCGGGAGCTGGGGCCAAAGACAGAAGGAAACATCAGTTCATCTTTCCTCCACTTGCAAAGACTTCTGGGTTGTACCACTGAACTACCGAATATCACACTCCATGGTAGCACTTATTTATCAACCCTAAAATCAGAATGCCAGAATCCCAGCTAAGTCCAGGCCTTATTATCTTACCCTGCAAAGATACGACAGATTAGGTCACTCAGGTAAAAATCAGTGCTTTAACAATGTGTTAGTGTCCACACCAGTGTGGCATCTGTTTGGAAACTGCATTTGCACATTTCCTGAAACAACTGTAAAACGCACTATCACAAACTTAGAATCTATCAGCCTTAACAGCACACACACTCAATCCTGACAGGTCTCTCCAAGCAAGTGAAAAACAAGAGCAATGTCAAAATCGAACTTTTTAACTAACTGAAACCAAACGACTCGACGACAGCCGTCCGACAGCCGAGCTGTAGATCATGAGAACAGGTGCCACACAACGCGGCGTCCTGCCCTGGATCAGTTACCACTGCAGAGAGACCCTGAGCTTCAGCCAGAGGCCATCAGCACACTCTCTCCATGAAGAAAGGCTCACCACGCCGGGGAGGGGCGGCCCACCTCAGCAGGGCGCTTAGTGTGTGTGTGCTGCCAGGGCGGGGCCAGCGCCCACACGGCAGACTGTCAAACAGCCCTGCAGGTGGGCCGGCGCGGCAGCCATGGGTTGAAGCGACTACACTGGTGCTTTTGAGCGCACTCAGCTCCCCATCCACATCTGGAAACCCTCACTCAGCCATGATTACATACCCAATCAACGGTGCAGAAGTTTACAGCCTCCGCAAAGTTGAAGCCTTGGTTAAAACCACTATGGTAGGCTCTTGGAAAGGTGATCACAAACTCCCCAGCACACTGATTAGTTCGGTAAACCTAGAAAGAAGAGATTGACATTTTTGAGGTTCTTGGATGGTGGCATCCCACTAAAGACAACAGGGACTTGGTATTGATGATTTTTCAGACAGCAGCTTCTACTGCAGACACTAATTCCTGCCACACGAGGGAGCAGTGCCTCACACGGACAGCAGGGCTTACACCAACCACTTAGCAAAACACAGCAGCAACTATGAAAGACCCTAATGTAATACCATTCCCTCCTGATGCCAATGAAAGAAATCTCGCTTTACTTCAAGAATCTCACACAGAACTCCTGATCTGGACCTCAGATTTAGCTTCCATCATTCCTCTCTGCTTGCACCCCACAAGCACGGAGACTGCCCCAGCTTCCTGTCCCAGCCTGCCCAGCGCCTGCCTCCCTGCATCAGTGGTTCACCACAGCAGCAGCAGCGAGGGACTTGTTGAAAATGCAGATTCAAGCCTCACCCAGAACCAGAGAACTCGAGAGTGCCGGGGGCAAGCCCCATGAAACTGTTGGGTAACAGGCCCTTCAAGGTTCTGATACTGCACAAAGTTAAAGACAATCACCCATCCCAGATGCACAATCCCTTCTCCCTAAACTACTTCCTGCATCCCCAACTCCCTGCTAAACCCACGTGATAACTTATCATTGCACTCAGCTCCTCCTGTAGACCTGCAGATGCCACCTCATTGATGAGCCCTTTCTGACTCTTAACAGACCAAATGTTCCAGCTGACACCACTGTCACACCACAGACCACCGTGCCCTTCCATTATTTGCACAAACATCATGCCTTTATAAATTCTGAGTCCCTGGGTACAGAAGGAGTTCATTCAATCATCTCTGTTGATCTAGAATCTCCTGTTACATAGTTTGCTCAATTATTAAAGAATCAGAGTTAAGTCTCATTTATAGCAAGTTCCTTGGCAAACTGGGAAGACCAACCAACAGGAAGAGAAAAATCAATGGGGAAGATCCCAACAAGGAGACGTGGTACTCTGGTTCAATCATTATTTCTAAGCTATGGTCCATGCGTAATTTATGACCCCTCAAAGAAAAGTCCTTCCTCTTTGTCCCCACTGACTATCCTGTGGATCCAAAATAAAAAAATTTAGGTCACATGAAAATCAAGAATTCGCTTTGGGGCTGGCACTGTAGCGTAGCGGGTAAAGTCACTGCTTGCAGGACTGGCATCCATACTGGTGCCAGTTCAAGTCCCAGCCGCTCCAATGCTGATCCACTTCTCTGCTAATGTGCCTGAGAAAGCAGCGGAAGATGGTCTGAGTCCTTGGGCCCTGCACCCACGTGGGAGACCTGGAAAAAGCTCCTGGTTCCTGGCATCGGATTGGTGCAGCTCTGGCTGTTGCAGTCATTTGGGGAGTGAACCAATAGATGGAAGATCTTTCTTTCTCCCTAACTCTGCCTTTCAAATAAATAAATAAATCTATGTAAAAATTCACTTTAACAATGTTAATGCATCATTTATACTCTGTTGAACAAAGATGCACTCCTCATACTGGCCTCCCAAAACTGTCTTCAGAGCATGCTCCAAAAAGAATGCCAGTATCTGAGTGTCACCACCTTGTACAGAACTTCGGTGAGGCGACCACAGCAGCACCTTTCAGGCCAGACTGGGAACCCTGAAATCCAAGTTCAAGCCCTCAAAATAAGTTTTCACTTAAAATAAGCTTAATTGGGCAAGTGTCATGGTACACTGTCACTGGGGATGTCTACACTTCATAGTGCCTGGTTTGAGTCTTGACTACTTGACACTTTTGATCTAGCTTCCTGCTAAAGCGACTAGGCAAGCAGGGATTATGGCCCTGGCCTTCTGCTCCTGCCGTCCATAGAGGAGACCAAGATGGCTGTTGAAGGTATTTGGGGAATGAATTGGCAGGTGGAAGATCCTGGGCTCTCCCTCTCCCTCCCAGTCACTCCAGTCTTTTTTTTTTTTTTTTTCTCTTTCTTTCTTTTTTTTTTTTTAAAGGCAGAGTTATAGAGTGGGATAGAGATCTTCCATCTGCTGTTTCACTCCTCAAATGACTGCAAAGGCTGGATCTGGGCTAGGCCAAACAAAGCCAGGAGCTTGGGGCTTCTTATGGGTCTCCCACTGGGTGCAGGGACCCAGGTATTGGGGCCACCCTCCAGTGTTTTCCCAGGTGCACTGGCAGAGCTGGATAGGAAGTCCAGGTCCCAAATCAGTACCCATATGGGATGCTGGCATCGCAAGCAGCAGCTCTACCAGCTACACCACAACAATAGCCCCCACTCTGGCCTTTCAAATAAATGAATCTTAAATACAAATAGAGGTAAAACTAAGATCTACCATGCATACCAGTTCATTATCCAAAATTAAAATCATGGATTCAAAACTGTTTTCTAAAGTAAGCACAAGGTATGAAAGATTCTAAGAGTTCAGATCGCCCCATTTTCGGCCCAGCTAAAACCACTGTGGCCACTTGGGGAGAGAAGCAGCAGATGGAGGACCTCTTCCCTGCAGAACGTACAGGCACTTCATGCGTCATCAGCGTGTTGGGGTTCATGATGGTCACAAGCTGGTGCAGGAGGTCCGGCTGCGACACGAACAGCTCTGGAGCCAGCTTCTTCATCACGGTCTCCAGCTGCTCGGCAGCATAGCCGGGGACGCCGTACCAGGTTTTTGGCTCACCCCTGGAAGCAGAGAACGAAAATAAATCAGCCCCCACGTCAACACAAATAAAAGGGTGAACCAGTTCTTACTGTTTAGCTCCTGCTCTGTACGACCATGTTACAGAGGAATGTTCAGACCAAACTGAACGTGTGTGATGCATTCCCCCCTCCAAGTAAAAAGCTTAAACGTGAGACTTTTTATCCGAGATCCCTCTCCCCACTCCCATGCTATCTGGCCCTTGACAAGATGCAGATACCCAGAATTTCTAAGAATATAAGGTCTTATGTTAGCTGCAGGCTATGTGGTTGCCGCAATTTCCACAGCAACTGACAAGGGGGTGACTCTCCATCTTCCTTTGCTCTTCCCCTCCTGACAGACGAGGTTAAATCAAACACTAATAAGGCAATTAGCATTTCTAAAGAGCTCTTATTCTTCAAAGCACTGTAAATTGTCAACCAATTAATCTGTAACATCCTTGCATCCCTGTGAGCTATGGTAAACATAATCTTCATTTTACAGCTGGGAACAATTGCCTGGGGAAGCAGAACCATGCTTATGTGCACATATAGATGCCAATTCCCCCTTTCTTGTGGTACATCCTCAAATTCCTTGTGTGAAGATTTGAGTATGTTACAGATCTTCAAATATTTTTGAACTTAGGAGCAAGAGGAATAGAGAAGAGAAAAACAGATGTGAAGAAATGACTCTGGTTGAAGAGCTTAAACAATGAAGCCCACATGCCCCGACATGCACACAAGATAAGGACACGCAACTATATGCACAGTGACGCTAGAAAGCAGCCCAGGAAGCTGGAGGTACAAGGACCTGGGAGACACTGTGCCACCTCTAAGCCTCTCCCAAAGTGGTGTTTTTTGTTTTTTTTTTCCGAAGTATTTTTATTTATTTGAGACAGATTTGGTTCACTGCCCAAATGCCCACAAAAGCCAGGGCTGGGCCATGCCGAGGTGAGCCTGGAACCCGATCCAGTGCCCCGCATGAGTGACAGGGACCCAAATACTCCAGCCATCACCTGCTGCTTTTCGGGGTGTCCATAGCAGGGACTTGGATCAGAAGTAGAGGACTGGACTCCAGGCACTCTGATATAGGATGCAGGCGTCACAATGGTATCCTAATGGCTGAGTCAAATGCCTGCCCCAATGGGCCGCCATTGCCTCCAAATGGCATTTTCCACACTAAAAGCAAAGCTCAATGCCTTCTGACCTTTCTGTGTATGTGCAATTTCAGCAGATTCATGCATTTCCAGGGAATCTTTTAAGAAACAGTGTTTTAGCTTGTTGGGATGTCTGCTCCAACAGCAAAGAAAAAATCTTTTTAAAAAGTAGCCCAGAGGCTGGTGCTGTGGTGTAGTAGGCTAAACCTCCACCTGCCACACCCATATCCCACGTGGGCACTGGTTCTTGTCCCCACTGCTCCTCTTCTGATCCAGCTCTCTATGGCCTGGAAAGGCAGTGGAAGATGGCCCAGGTGCTTAGGTCCCTGTACCTGTGTGGAAAACCTGGAGGGGGCTCCTGGCTCCTGGCTCTGGATTGGCCTAACTATAGCCATTGTGGTCACTTTTCTCTCTCTCCCTTTCTATCTGTTTAACTCTACCTCTATATAATAAATAAAATCTTAAAAAAGAAGAAAAAAAAAAGTGGCCCATTACTAGTTTTTCTACTCAGCTAGCCAATCACTCCAGGCTCTGTGGAACCTCTCACCAGTGCAGGTAGTTAATCGAGTAGCTCCAGTGGTCTTCAATATGCCAACAGAAGGATGAAAAGCACATCCCCACGTACAGCCACGGAAGTTTCATGCCACATATGTCAGCAGTGATGTGGGCAAGCACAGACTGCTCCATCACTGGCATGTTGTTCAGATTCCAGCCACTATCAAGGTACTCCTAAAAACACAACAGCGAGAGAAGAGTTAGCTGCGTCGCTCGGCACTGCTGCAGGAGCCAGCTGAGAACAGTGTCCTTTAAAATAAGAGGGGAGGAGGGGAGCTGAGGAGCCACTGTGCTGCCCACAAATGTGTGAACGCCACACAAATGGATTCAGAGAGTAAATGAGTCTGTATCTGCCTCTCTTCCTGGAAAGAGTCCACTTACACAAAGCTCACAAGTGCACACACCAGCCCAGGTACTGGAGAAGCCAGGATGGTGGCTATCCAGAGAGGGAGGGGGAGGGAGGAGAGGGGCAAAGGCGGAGCTTCGGGGGTGCTGGGCACATCTTCTCTCCTGCTCTAGTGCTGTGACTCAGCTACACACACACAATTACATACTTCTCATCGTATGCCAGATTTCAACGTCAAATCAGAGTTCCTACCAGAATAGGAACAGAAACCCTCTTAGGAGTCTGCAAGCAGGGAAACTCGCAGGCTCCTAAACATTCAGGTGCCAGGGTAACCAGGCCCGACCCCGACCCTTTGAGTTTCCTACAGAAAGAGAAGCAATGTAAAGAATCTACGGCCGGTGAGCCATGTTCCCAATCACACCCGCAGTCACAGCGGCACCTCAGTCTTGAATTCATGAACAATCTGGTAGCCAAGAGTTACCGAGAGCAAATCATGAAACCACTTCAGCCAATCAACAATGTCCAGGAATAAGTAACTTCTTCCAAGCCACTTCCATGGGCGTCTGTCTTTTCCAGGAGGGCTCCATGACCCAGCTGTGCCCTTTAGGTCGAGTGCATGCCGAACAGCGGCCTGCATGGCAGAGCTCCCTAAACCCAAGGGCCTACCTCTTCCTCCGGCGAAAGCTTGATTTTTCCGTCTCGTACAGGGAAGCCACTGCCAAATTCCTTTGAGGCGATGTCAGCTCCATATTCCACTGTGACATCTTCCTCAATAGTGCTTACCAGTCGCCAAAATTCTTTCTCAACCAGCTCTGTGGGAACCATCTGGAAACACAAGGGAGAAAAAATGAGATTTCTCAGACAGTCACAAACTGCATCCAGTCTGGGGACAGGAATCACAGAATAACATCCTGAGGACCAATTCTGCCTTTAAGACGACAACTCCATCTTCCAAAAGGAATTTTATAACCAAGAGGGGCAGGAACTGAGAATTCCAGCCCTCTCCACCCATGCATGCCTGCATCCCATACTGGAGTGCTGGCGGAGGGCCAAGTCGAGTCCCAGCTCTGCAGCTTCTGACCCAGCTTCCTACTACTGCATCCAGGGAGGCAGCCGATGGTGGCTCAAGTGCTGGGGCCCCCGCCGGCCCCTGGGACAGCCACACTGAGTTCCTGGCTCCTGGCTTTGGTCTGGAACAGGCCTGGCTATTGCAGGCGTTTTAGGAGTGAATCAGTGGATGGAGATTTCTGTCACTCTGCCTTTCAACAGATGAAAATGAATAAGCATTTAAAAAACAAAATGGACTGATGCTCCTGTTATCAACCTGGCCCCACTATAAAAGGAGGCGAGGAGAGTACAGTGAGTCCAGAGGCAGGAAACTTCCATGCCTGCCCCTCAGCGTCTTCATCTTAGAAAAATACGCGGCCAGCTACAGCTAGAAGAGGTTGTATGCAAGTCACCAAGACTGACCGAGTACACATGTGGGGAGTCAAGAGAACTGAAAACTCAAATCAAGTATAAATTTAAGCGCATTAAACAAGTAATTACAACTTAAGGAAAATCAGGTCTGCTCATGTATTTGCTGAGGTTCCATAAACTGAGTCAGGTATTCGAGTGGGACAAGGGGTAGGCTCTCATGTAGCCCCACTAGCAATTCCAAGAAAATAATCCCACTAAAGAGACCCACATGACGGAGCACTTGCATTAATGGTGAAGAAAACCACTAATTCGGGGCCAGCAGCGTGGCGCAGGTTAATCCTCTGCCTGAGGGGCCAGCATCCCATATGGGCGGTTCTAGGCCTGGCTGCTCTTCTTCCCATCCAGCTCTCTGCTGTGGCCTGGGAAAGCAGACCCAAGTCCTTGGGCCCCTGCACCCGCATGGGAGAGCTGGAAGAAGCACCTGGCTCCTGGCTTCACATTGGCACAGCTCCGGTCGTTGCGGCCATTTGGGTAGTGAATCAATGGGAGAAGACCCGTGTCTGTCACTCTCTCTGTAACTCTACCTCTCAAATAAATAAATAAAATCTTAAAAAAAATAAAGAAAAGAAAACCACTAATTCATCTTGAATTAGTGTTAGGAAATCACTTAATTTCGGTGAAATTACTTGAGGAATAATAATAAATGCTGAATGAGAAGTGCTTGTGCTCCTGATTGAGTAAGGGAAAATTAAAAATGCAATCTTACCCTGAAGTTCAAAATACTAACTTATGGTCTCATAACAAACAAGGAGTATGTTCCCAGAGGCAGTGCTGTGGCACAGTGGGTAAAGCTGCCGCCTGCAGTGCCCAGCATACCATATGGGCACTGGTTTGTGTCCCGGCTGCTCCACTTCCCATCCAGCTCTCTGCTATGGCCTGGGAAAGCAGCAGAAGACTGCCCAAGTCCTTGGCCCCTGCACCCGCGTGGGAGACCTGGAAGAAGCTCCTGGCTTTGGATCAGCATGGCTCCAGCCATTGAGGCCATCTGGGGAGTGAACCAATGGATGGAAGACCTCTCTCTCTGCCTCTTTTAACTCTGCCCTTCAAATAAATAAATTAATCTTGGGGGGGGGGACAGAAGTATACTCCCAAGGTATATATTGCTTGGCATATCATAGCCACTCACAAATTTTATAACTTTTCTTTAAATTGCATTTGCTGGACTGAAAGGATTACTGATTATTTTCTTTACTGGTATTCTGTTGCTGTTACTATATGATTGTGTGGGACAGCTATTTCTAGAGAAATCCTTAAATGAAAAATCATAATGCATCTTTCAGTACTGTGGGAATTTAAATACAATGAAACCAAGCTAATCTCTCATTCTGCATAATGACCATCAGAAGAGGCCTCCACTCAATCTGTCTTCAGATACATTGTTCTGCAAAAGTAACTAAAAGCTTAAATTAAAGCACTGCATGTGTACCTACATGGACTGGCATGTTGAAGTAGTCGGATTTGAAGGCGTCTGCCATTTCCCCAAAAGTTCGCAGGGTGTAGTCCCTGGCTGCTTGTTCAAAGCCAAATGCTTCTTGTGGCTTACTACATTCCTGCAAATAAAAACAAAATTGGTGTTCTAGATGACACTTGAAAATTCCAAGTACAATTGCCAATGTCCTTATTTAATATTTATGCTAGATCTACATTGGAAAAATTAATGTGACAAAAAATTGGATTGGTCTAGTGAGCAAATGAAACAAATTTCACCTATTTATTTGCTAAAGCAAACAGAATCTCTATTTTATTTACCACAACCTGGAATTTAAATGTTTGGAAAGACAGCCAATCAGTCAGCTTCCTTCATGATCAGGCACTGAGTGCTGAGTGAGCACCTGAGGTCTGTGTTAGGGTCAGATCCCGTAAGGAGCTTCAAGAGTGGACGCCTGGATGGAAAGGCCCTGTGCTTTCTCATACAGCTCCATTACACAGGAACACGGTGTCCCCTAACAGGGGAAGGTATTTTCTACCTTGATAAGGAATCACGGCCTCTGAGACTCCAAACCATAAAATCAACAAATACAGACTAGAAGTCACTCGATGGAAACCGAAGGACTGCCAAACCAGCAGTATGTGCCTATAATCTAACAACGTCATCAGAAACAAAGCACCGAGGGGTAGCCGGAGCCAGCCAAGCCACTCTGGACCAGTGAGCCGGATCCACCGCCAAGTCATCCCTACCAGGGGAACTCACCACTTAAGTCACCTCCCACCCATGGCCCCTGCCCTGCCCGGACACTGGCCCAGTGCCTTCCCCTTCACAGGAGACAATGGAAAAGCACTGTAGCCCTGGCCCCGCACTGGGGCTGAGCTCCTCACTACTGTGACATAATCCCACCCTGACACGACCATCACCTCCCCGCTGACTGCCTCGCTAGACAAAGGAATCCTCACAAAGGTGGGAGCAAATCCCTTCTAGATTTTACCAGAGACACCACGCACCACGAAAAATATCAGTTATCACAATGCCACATGGAAGTGTATTTCTAAGTGAAAAATAGTACTAAAATCACTCCTGTAACATAACTGCATTTGTTTAGAACAGGATCTGGATGGATACACACCATCACATTAAGAGTGGCTATCACCACATTGAGGAATCATCTCTGAGTTCTTCAGCGTTCTACCAGGATAGTCAAAGCTCCCAGCTTCTGGCTTCACCCTGGCTGCTTTGGCCAACCTGAGAGTGAACCAGCAGATGAAGATTCCTCTGCGTCTCCCTTTCTCTCTGTCACTCTGCCTTTCAAATAAGCTAATCTTAAAAGAGAAATTTTTAAAAAGATTTATTCATTTACTTAAAAGGCAGACATTCAGAGAGAGAGAGAGAGAGATCTTCCACCTGCTGGTTCATTTCCCCAGTGACCATAATTTTGGGAGCTGGGTCAATGCAAAGACAGGAGTCAGGAGCTTCTTCTAGGTCTGCCACTTGGGTGCAGGTAGCCAAGCACTTGGGCCATCTTCTACTGCTTAATCAGGCCATTAGCAGGGAGCTGGATCAGAGGTGGAGCAGCTAAGACTCGAACTGGTGCCCATATGGGATGCCAGTGCCACAGGCACCTGCTTTACCTGTTACAACACAACACCAACCCCTGAGAGAGAGAATTCTTGCAAACAGCATGTAATGCTTTTTACAATTAAATTTTAAAAACAAACAAATAGTGTAGTGGCTGGTGTTGTGGCACAATGGGTTAAGCCACTGCCTACCATACCAGTACCCTATATCAGAGTGTGGGTTCAAGTCCTGGCTGTTTCACTTCCAATCTAACTCCCTACTAATGCACCTGGGAATGCAGCAGAAGCTGGCCTAAGTGCATGGGCCCCTTCCATCCACAGCGGAGACCCAGATGGAGTTCAGGCTCCTGGCTTCAGCCTGCCACAGCCCTGACCACTGTGGTCATTTAGGGAGTGAATCATCAGCAGGAAGATTAATAGATCAATCTCTGTCATTCTGCCTTTCAAATAAATAAATAAATCTTAAAAAACAAAACAAGACACAGTCTAATTGCTCAGCAAAACGCTACTGTCCCTTAGCTTCCTCAACACTGCAGACCTCGATTCTGAGACCCTTCTCCGACTCAGGTCCCGTCCAGTTCACTTCATGGGCCTCAGGATTATCCACTGGCAAATCTAAAGCCCAAAGGGAAGAAAAACGCACTAACAGTAACATTCTAACGCTACCCCTGCCATTAATTCTTACCTGAGCCAAACACTTAGGACACCTCCAGTCTCCCTTGGGGACGTCGTGGAGCGGTGGGATCAAGCAGAAGGTATGGTAGCTGTCGTCGCAGCCGTCACACAGGAGAAGCCGGTCCTCGTCGCTGCCGCTGCCGCACAGGAGGCAGACGTACAGGTCCACCTGCGGCAAGGAGAGTGCACACAGCAGCTGTGACTCAGGGTCGCCAAGCGGTCGACGGCGCAATCTAGTCTCTCCATCCCACATCCAATGCTTCAGCCTCCACAAAGGGTATTTCAAATACGAGCACCTCCCACTTTCTATGAGAGGTATTTCACAGCACTCCACACATTCCCAGCTTTAACGTACAACCTCCTAGCTTTCTCCACTGTCATGTGTTTAAAGTTATTTAAAGAGCTTAAAGATAGTTTTCTAAAAGAAAAATCTTAGATAATAACAAAAAGCAAATTTATGAAGGAAAAGGTCAATTTTGCATAAAAGGAAAAATCTTTTAAATTAATAATGAATAAAGAAAAGGTGGTATCTACATAAAGGAATACTACCCAGCCATTAAAAAGGATGAAATCTTGGTCATTCTTGAAGACAAGGATAGAAATGGAGGCCACTATGTTAATCAAAATAAGCCAAGCACAAAAAGCCAAGAATTGCACAATGTGGAATCTTTAAAAAGGTGATCTCATGGAATTCCAAAGTATAGGGTGAATATGAGGCTGGGGAGGAGAGGGGAAAGGAAGGAGGGGGGAGGGAGAAATGGAAAAAAGTTGATTGTTGAATAGGCATCAACTCATATAGCAGTAAAAAGTTCTGGAGTTCTCTACTGGAGAGAAAGGCAACTATAGATATTAATCAATGGCATATTTTTCTATTAAAAAAAAAAACAAGACAGGATTTTGGATGTATCCCCCATAAAGAAATGTTAAATATTTGAGGAGATAGATGTATTTACGCTGATTGGACGTTATATACTGTGCACAAAATATCACCTAATACCCCTAACCACCACATAAATGGATATAATTTTTATAACTTAAAATATTTTTAATAAGAAGAAACTAAAGCTTACATGACATTAAGCTACAATTTTAACTCCTAATTGTGGATCATGGTTAAGAGGTTCCTCCAAATATCCAGTGACAGGGCACAGCTATGGACTGAAATGTGTCCCTCCACAAGTCCCGGGCTGCAGTCCTCACCAAGCCTCAGTGTCTCAGTGCGTGAGTGAGGTGAAATCATGTCACCAGGGTGCTCCTGTGCAGCAGCACTGGGGATCGGGGCCCAGACCTGTGCAGTGACAGCTGGTGAGAAGACAGCTACCCACAGCCAGAGGGCAGGGCACAGGAGCAGGTCCTGGGCTGACACTGACTCCCCAGCCACACGTGTGCGTTAAGCCAATGGCCCTAGTGAGGCAATACAGAGACAGGACCTCATAACAGAAGCTGAGCGTTCAACTACAGAGTTGTGTCTCTTTCAGTTGAGGCTCTGCTGATTTTCTAATTGTATCTGGCAGGGAGTGGGCAGCAAAGAGGGATGGTTATAGGAGAAAACATTCAATTAGAATAATTTATCAAAGAATGTTTAAGATTTATTTATCTGTTTGAAAGGCAGAAACAGAGAGATCGTCCATCCACTGGTTCACTCTCCAAATGGTTTCAAGGGCCAGGGCTGGGTGAGCCTGAAGCCAGGAGCTTCTTCTGGGTCTCCCAAGTGGATACAGGATCCAAGTACTTGGGCCTTCCACTGCTTTCCCAGGCACATTAGCTGGGAGCTGGATCAGAGGTGGAGCAGCTGGGACTCAAACTGGTGCCCATATGGGATGCCAGCACTGCAGGAAGTGGTTCTAACTGCTTTGCCACGGTGCCAGCCCCGAATTAGACGAATTCTAATTCCAACCTCAAAGCATGGGTGTCAGTGTCTCAGAGGGGCAGGGCAGAAAAGCAGACAGGGGCTTTCTAGCATTCTCAAGTCAGGCTCTCAATCAGTTTCAACAGAGCCACAGCTCCCTGTGGCCCTGAGGCTCTGCCAGGTCCTCACCACAGCTCCCTGTGGCCCTGAGGCTCTGCCAGGCCCTTGCCCCAACTCCAACTCCTTTCCCCACCCCTTCCCTCCTCTTCTTTCCATTTCCTTCCTTCCTTTTGCTAACTGAAAAGCTGTGAAACATTCACAACTTTTGGTCTAGCCTTGCACGATCTGCTCATTAACACTCAACTTGGGGCCAGAGTGAACCCGATCCAGAAAAATGGCAACCAAAGCCCTCACTTCTGCGGTCATCGCCATCCTCACGAAGCCCTGGGGCAGTACCCATTTACAGTGACTGGAAAAGGTCATTTCTCTGTCAGACACTAAGTTACCCAAACCTAAGTAAGGCACAAAAGCTTATGCTTGGGGGTAAAAGGGTTAAGAAAGGAAGGGCAGGAGAATGAGGAAGAAAGGGGGGACGGAGAAGGGGCGGGGTTAACTCACAGCATTGGTGGTTTTTTTAGATCGACTCTTAGGCTTTTCCTTCTCACTTTCTACAATAAAATCTTTCTTCTCAACTGGTTCTTGCTTGATGTTACTTTTCATTTCTTTCTCTGTAGGAAGCAATCCAAAGTGAGCTCTTTCTGTACTATGCTGTCCTCTGCTTCCTCCCTCACCTCATCACCTCCCTCCCAAAGCAAACAGTTTCGTGGCTACTTCCATTTCAGTGGAAGTAGCACCCAGTGTAAACGCAATGCCGATTACTTCATGACCAAATGCAAACTCTAACACCATTTAAATTATCAGATGTAGGTACGCATGGAGATGTTGCTCGGGTTTGCAAGATGAACATAGTTTTCTTAAGCCTAAGACAGCAGATACTGACAAAATCATGTTCTTCTTTATCATGACCATGAGGCTGACAACTCAACTGTACCTCTTTCACCTTCCATCTCTAATGAGATCTGAAATGATTCTGGTCACCTTCCTGGCCTCCAGCTTCTTGTTCCAAAGACTAAACATTTTGGCTAAAACAATAGCTATCTTTTTTTTTTAAAAGATGTATTTATTTGAAAGTCAGAGTGACAGAGAGAGAGAGAGAGAGAGAGAGGGAGAAAGAGTTTGAATGATTGATTCCATCGACTGGTTCAGTCTCAAAAGCACACAGCAGTCAGGGCTGGGCCAGGCCAAAGCTTGGAGCCAGGAATTCCAACTCTCTCCCATATGGGTAGCAGGAACCCACTTGGACCATCACCTGCGCCTTCCCAGGAAGCGGGACTGGAAGCATAAAGTAGCTGGGACTGGAACCAGCATGTGGATGTAGGCATCCTAAGCGGCAGTTTAACCGGCCGCACCACAACTGTCCCTGGCTGTCCATTATTATGTAGGACACTATGCTAAATGCTTTCCTTAACTTTAATCCTCCAGAATGAACCCATTTCAAAGATTTGAAAACTGATGTCAAAAGGATGCATCTCTGGGGCAGGCATTTGATTTGGTCTAGTGGTGAAGGTGCTAGTTTAGACACTGACACCCCGTATCAGAGTACCTGGGTGCAATGCCAGCTCCAGCTTCTACAATGCAGACGCTGGAAGGCAGTGGTACACTCAGGAGGCAGGGTGCCTGCCACACATGTGGGAGATCCAGACTGAATTTCCAGTTCCTAGCTTCAGCCTGGCCCAGCCCCAGCCACGGCAGGTATTTAGGAAGCAGACTAGTAGATGAGAGCTCTGTCCCTCACATAAAACAAAAAAAATTTAAAAAATAACGAAGAAATATCTCTAAGGTCAAACACTCAGTGGCTGAGCCAGGACTCAGACCTGGATCTCTCTTGCTTTCTGCTAACTCACTAATCCCTAAGAAGAGGTAACTTCAGTAGCTTCTTCACCTGCATGTGCCTCCTACAGAGGGGGGCACGGCATTTCTCCTAAGAGGAACTCAAGTCTACCTCTCAGTGACTTAACAACATCGAGTGACAGCCACGTAAGCAGTCATCAAGTAAACTTTATATTTTAGAAACAGTGGCTGTCTGCCTTGCCTGAAATAAATCTATTAAGACATTTATTCAAAGGTCCCTATTCTTTCACAAATCACTTGTTTGCAATGAAAATACTGAAGCTCATTTCAAAGTTGAATGTACCACAGCTGGGAAACGCGCTAATATGCACATATAGATCCATTACTCTCTCCCACAGGTCAATTATATGACAACAAGGACAGTGATGCATCAAGTCTCCACTGCTCAAAGTTCAACTCTGCAACCAGCACGTAATTGTTGGGTTAACGTTACTGAATTAACAAATTGTTTATTTTTTTCTTTCTTATTCAGATAAATGTTCTTACCATTTTCACATTTTGGAGTTGGACAACCCATCCGACGTCTCAGATTATGAATTCTGGCTTCGGTTGTCTCTTCTGGTTCTATTTTAACATTCATAGCCTAAAAAAAAAATGTCATATACATGAAAAAAGAATCCTCTAAAACTCAAACTGAAGTCTCAGGTAAGTGTAACCTCAAAGCTTGTCTGTCAGTAAGTACAGCACTCAGAGTACACTGCTCTCCCCTAAGAAAACAGCCCATCTTTGGAACTTCCGTAACTTAAGGCATAGATGAAGACCAGAATGTTCTCTACCATGATAGATTAATAATTAGGAAAAGGTCAGAGGATCAGTAACAAACTGGGATGTGTTACTACGTAGACTGGGACAACTCTCCTTCCCTCCTAGAAGCACCTGGGCTCTCACACGTTCGCTTCATGCTATATTCTATCACCACGGAGCCCCATCCTAAGCACTTACGTAAATATCCCAATTCCATCAGCCCCTAAGGCTTTCCCAACCTCTTCCAAGGTCTGCAGAATGTATAGACAATTCAGCTTCCATAAAAAGTTCCTAGAAATTATTTTAATAAACTATCATAAAAAGCTATTTATACAAAAACATTCACTTATTTGAGAGACAGAGATCTGTCCTCCTCTGGATCATTCCCCAAATACCCATCAAAAGCTGCACCAAGCTGAAGTAGGAGCCTGGAATGCAAGTGGGTGACAGGGACCGGAGAACTTGGGCCATCATTCGCTGACCCTCACAGTGCATACTGGCAGGAAGCCGGAATCAGCAGCAGAGGCAAGAGTAGAACCCACACACTCTGACATGGGCTGAAGGCGTCCCAGGTGGCACCTCATCCAGTAGGCCACACAGCTGTCCCTTCAACTATACTCTCACATCACCAACTCCTCACTGAGAGCCAAGTCTCAGTTTCTGCTGTGTCTTGAAGTGCTCACAGAAAAACAAACAGGCCATCTCTGAGCCTGGACCGCTGGAGGTGTTTGTGCACTGTCACTTTGCCTGGCTCTGCTCACCTGCTCTCCTCCACGGACATCAGTACCATCTAGTCACTTCCTGACCATCACAGATCTAGGCAGCCGCGGCACTAGGGCATCTCTAACAGACACTGAAGGCAAAGAACTGCACCCCCAACCATTTTTAGATCCATGAACTCTCAGCATGTTGCGGGCTTCAAAGAACCACATTTTCCTAGTCTGCGCAGTTGCCTTCATTTACAAAATGGAGTCACTAAAATTTTTTCCTATCCTCCAACTTACCACAGTAAAAACACTTCTCATATTTACACGTATCTTGAGAAAACAAAAGGGATAATATTTTCATCTTTGCAAAAAAGTAGCCAGGAATTGATTTGGAAACACAATTGATGCATTATGAGGCCTCCCAGCTCTACAGAGCCCTGTATGTTACCCCTGTGCCACCAGGCTGGGCAGGAATCCAAACTCTCCCACCTCTGTACAGCAGCGAGGTGACGGGGGAGCACTCTCCTTCCCCCAGAGGAAGCACCTCAGGGCATGAACACCTTGAAGCCAGCAGGAGCCGTAGCAGTCCTCCCAACTTCCTCTGACGACACCCCCTTCGTGGTGCCCCGTTCGTCTCTGGCTCAGCACAGGTATCTGCCCGTGGTCCCCAATTCCTTTTCAGGAAGTCTAAGAAAAATGACTGTTTTCTAAGCTCTCTTGTTTCAAAAAAGACACATCTTCACAGCTCCTGGCCCTGATTTCCAACACACACTGCCCAACTCTGAGTACCACAGGCAACTGAGAGAGCAGCACATGAGTGCAATCTTCTCGGGGCCAAGGCAACAGTTCAGCAGCGTCCGAGCAGGCGGCCCACACCCAGAGGAGGTTCAGTTCCTCACCCTTCTGGTGGTACAACTTCCCCAAGTATAAAAACTAGAATTCATGCTACAGCCTCCTCTGTGAGACGAGTAAGGTTCAAAACCATAGCACATACACGTGACGTCAGCGTGGAAGCCGGTATTTCTGGAGCTCAAGAATTCTTTGAGCTCAGCCCCAGGAAGTGCTCACCTCTGCGCGCATGCGTTTGGCGCGACGAGCTGGGGGGCACGTTTCCGAGGGCGGCACCGACTGCCTCTGGGGAATATCGTGGGGTTTGTATTCCTTGTCCTTCGTGTCTGTGGTCAGGTTTGGCTTCTGCAGACACTAGAAAGAAAACAGAATTGCACCGATAACTCTGTCTCCTTCGTTAGTCCTAGGGAGCTTCATTGGATTTTGCAAGATATATTTTTGAATTATTTATGTAGATAACAGGTTTTCCTTTTTAATATCTAAATAAACACAAAGATACAACCACAGATACAATTATATGATCAAATAGATACAGAGGGAACAGTATAGCCAAAAAACTTTTTTTAAAGATTTGCTTTTATTTTACTTGAAAGGCAGAATTAGAGAGAATGAGAGAGGGAGAGACAGAGAGAGCTGTCTCCAGCCGCTGGACCACTCCCCAGGCGCATTAGCAAGAATGCAGGGTGAGAAGCAGAGGAGCTGAGACTCAAGCCGACACTCCTGCACAGGATGCCACTGACTCACAGCGTGGCTCAACCTACTGCACCACAACTTTAAACAATGTCTGGATTAATGAAAATAGGGAATGCGGCATGTTGCCTGAACTTTACAATCCTGTGGCTTCAGACGGAACCAGCAATGTTTTCACCAAGTCACCTGAGCTGCGAGGATGGGCCGTTTGACTAAAGCAGCCTTCCTTCAGCAAAAAGCTTCGTTTACTTGAGGGCCTGCCAAGTCCTGAAGCTCACGAGGCAGAGCTTGTCAAGGAGCGCACGACAACAACTCTCATTCTGATCAGACACGCGTTTCTCCGTTCTCTGGTTTTTCTACTTAGTTTGATTCTAAGCTGCCTTTTCAAAGAGGGTATGCAACAATGCCAATACAACAAAACAAAATAGTACCACTGAAGCCAGCATGAACTTCAAGTAAGTGCTGCTGTTTCGCACAAGGATGCACAACTATCATGAGAAGTATTTTTAAAGGCAGGTTCCAAAAGGACACACTCCGGGGTGGCCAGACCACCTGTATGGAATGAGATGCACTGAAACGACAGCCTCCCAGAGTAATGCGCTGTGGGCACCATCACCACCTCACAGCCCAGTGAACAAGAGAGGCCTCCCCCTTACATTCACACAAAAAATACAGACTCCAGGGGAAGCATAAAAAAGGAGAAGCAAATTGACCAAACAGATTTCTAATATTTAAGAAGTATGATATGCTGGGACTGGCGCTGTGGCCGTGAGTTAAAGCCCTGGCTTGAAGCAATGGCATCCCATATGGGCGCCAGTTCTAGTCTTGATCCAGCTCTCTGCTGTGCCTGGGAAAGCAGTAGAAGATGGCCCAAGTCCTCGGGCCCTGCACCCATGTGGGAGATCCAGAAGAAGCTCCTGGCTCCTGGCTTCAGATCGCTGCAGCTCTGGCCGTTGCAGCCATCTGGGGAGTGAACCAGCAGATGGGATGGAAGACACCCCCCCTTTCTGTAACTCTTTCAAATAAAAAAAAAATAATAATAATTAAAAAATATGTATGCTATAAGAATACTAAGGGGCCAACACTTTGGCACAGCGGGTAAAGCCTCCATCTGCAGTGTCAGCATCCCACATGGAGGCCACTTTAAGTCCTGGCTGTTCCACCTCTGATCCAGCTCTCTGCTATGGCCTGGGAAAGTAGTGGAAGATGGCCCAAGTCCTTGGGCCCCTGCACCCACGTGGGAGACCTGGAAGAAGCTCCTGGTTGTTGGCTTCCAATCTGCCCACTCTGGCCATTGTGGCCACTGGGGTACTGAACCAGCAGATGGGAGACCTTTTTCTCGCTCTATAACTCTGCCTTTCAAATAAACAAATAAATCTTAAAAAAAAAAAAAAAAAAAAAAAAAAGAATACTGATACAAACTGCAGGACAAGTAATGAATCTACCTCTGGTATAGCAACCTATAAATATTAAATATTCTACTTATTCTACTGAAACCTATACACTGATCTGAGTTGGAAACATTAACTGCTATACCTATAATAAGCCCACACCCCACACAGGAGTCCTGGATTCATCTGGTTACTCTGCTTCTGGTTCAGTTTCCTGCTAATGCATCCTGGGAAGCAGGAAACGATGGCTCAAGTGCTGCTTCCTGCCCTGGGTGGGGTTCTGGGCTCCTGGCTTCAGCCTGGCCCAGTTCTGGCCTCTGCGGCCATGTGGGGAGTGAGTCCGTGGATGGAAGATCTATGTCTGTCTCTTTCTGTTTTCTTCTCTCTCTTTGTAACTCTGCCTTTCATATTTTTAAAATAATAATACAACATAAAAAGCAAAAAAAAAAAATGGTATCACACCATCAGGGCAATCCCTTAAGGTCTGTGGAGAACTTGGAGAACAGGATGAGGGCCTGCTCCATCGTGTGAGGTGCATCACCACTCAGCACACTCAGGTAACAACACCTGGTCCACACAGCACACCATGCTTCTCAAACTATCTTCTCTAACTGTCCTTTCTCCAGAAACTAATTGCAAAAATCAGAAATGGGCATTAAAACAAAGTGGACAAAGAATGCCCATTATTATAATAAAAAATTAGTGCTAACCTAAATTTCCAACAATATGAGAAATCAAATCAAGGTTTGGTTACAAAAATGGAATGCCAGTCGTAAGAAAGCATGTTCTCTGGGGTCGGCGCTATGGTGCAGTAGATTAATCCTCCGCCTAAGGCACTGGCATCCCGTATGGACGCCAATTCATATCCCTGCTGCTCCTCTTCTGATCCAGTTCTCTGCTACGGCCTGGGAAAGCACTGGAAGATGGCCCAACTCCAGCCATTGCAGCCACTTGGGGAGTGAACAGGCATATGGAAGACCATTCTGTCTCTCTAATTCTGCCTTTCAAATAAATAAATAAAATCTTGAAAAAACACATCCTCAAAAATGTTCAATGACACAGCAAATGTTCATGATATTTTAGGAAGAAAAAAGAAATGCAAGGTCAGCGTAGTGGGTAAAGTATTCCCTGTGATGCTGGCATCCAACATGGGCAGTAGCTTCTTCACTTCCAACCCAGCTCCCTGCTAATGTGCCTTGAAAAGCAGCGAAAGACGGCCCAAACGCTTGGACCTCTGCACCCATGTGGGAGACCTGGAAGAAGCTCCTGACTCCTGGCTTTCAGTCTGGCCTAGCCGTGGTCGTTGCAGCCATTTGGGGAATGAACCAGTGGATAGACGACCTCTCTAATTCTACCTTTCAAATAAATAAATCTTTTTGTAGCCGGCACCGTGGCATAGCAGGTAAAGCTGCCACCAGCTCTCTGCTGTGGCCTGGGAAAGCAGTGGAAGATGGCCCAAGTCCTTGGGCCCCTGCACCCACGTGGGAGACCTGGAAGGAGCTCCTGGTTGTTGGCTTCCAATCTGCCCACTCTGGCCTTGGAAGAGAGGCAACCAGGAGAGAATCCGGCGCCCCGACTGGAACTAGAACCTGGTGTGCCGCTGCCGCAAGGCGGAGAATTAGCCTATTGAGCCGCGGCGCTGGCCCATAAATCTTTTTTTTTTTTTAAAGATTTTTAAAGGTTTTTGTTTATTTGAAAGTCTGAGTTACACAGAGAGAGGCAGAGAGAAAGAGAGGTCTTCCGTCCGATGATTCACTCCCCAGATGGCCGCAACGGCCGGAGCTGTGCCGATCTGAAGCCAGGAGCCAGGAGCCAGGTGCTTCTTCCAGGTCTCCCATGCGGGTTTAGGGGCCCAAGGAGTTGGGCCATCTTCTACTGCTTTCCCAGGCCATAGCAGAGAGCTGGATTGGAAGTGGAGCAGCCGGGACTAGAACCAGCGCCCATATGGGATGCCGGCGCTTCAGGCCAGGGCGTTATCCTGCTGCGCCACAGTGCCAGCCCCACAAATAAATCTTTAAAAATAAATAAATCTTTTAAAAAATACAATATTGCATATAAAGAGCACATTGCTAATTTGCGTGTGTTTTTATAAAAAGTTAACAAAAGTAACATCTGGGAGGATTAGGAATAAGTTTTCATTATGTTTGTCATACTTTCCTGTGTATTTACTTTCCACAATGAACATACTTGGTACATAATAGGTCTACCCCTCAAAAACTGTCTGTGTTACAGATGCAATGTTTGTAAAACAGTGTCTTCAAACACCTATTCCCTTTTAACTCTTTGGTCACACAAATGCCTAAATGCTTTATAACTAACTTAGTGCCCAAGTTTCCATAGAATTTATTAAATGTTTCCAAAATGTCACAACTCATCAATCAGATAAACTGCATCTCCTCTCACTCACCAGACCACCACCCTTCAGAGGAGTTCTTCAAGAAAAGAAAATGAACCCCCATGGGCAACCGTAGACATATAAAGGCCCCACTTCAATTCATCATGGGCCCATTACATGTTCACACAGTGTACATTTCAGAAAAACAAACTGTCTGATATCATATTAGCCACTCTCTTCTAGATTAAAAAGAATCAAGAGGAAAGAAAAACAATACACTCACATTGCAGATAGCATGTAAATGGCTATTACTTGAAATTCTTTCTGGCAAGGTCTTGAAATACGTGGGAGATTCGTTTTTTGGACTGTTTACTTATTTTCTTCTGCATGAAAGGCAGAACAGAGTATGGGAGATCGTCAGATGCCCACAGCAAACAGGGCTATGCCAGGCCAAAGCCAGGAGCCTGGACTGTACCTGAACCTCCCATCTGGGCCATCATCTCCCGCCTTCCAGGACACGTCCCCAGAAGGCTGGAGTCACTGCTCCAAAACTGGTGCTGAGTCCCAGGTGGAGGGTTAGCCAACTGCACCATAACACCCAGCCCAAGCGGGAAATTTTTATATTGCCTTACTTTAATTAAAAAGTTGTTCTTAGCTGAATATTTTCATAAACACCTTTTTTGTAGAAAAACAAGTGCAGCTCCATAAGAACTACTGGAAGCAGCAGCCATCAGCTATGTCACTAAGTGTCATTAAGTCCCTCATCCTTTGCCACTAGCATTCCATTGGACAATCTGCTCAGACACCTTGCTGGCCAAAGGGGTCGGGCAGGCAGGCTGCCACCCAGGCTGTCCTTCATGTGGCAACCAGGAACACTTCAGCACTAACTGCACCCCGCAGACGTGAGTCAGCTCCTGCTGGTTACCACCTCCAGGGAAGGGAACACAGACTGCCGCTCCACGGTGGAAGCACATTTCCTCTGTCATCTTATGCAAGCAAAGAACAAGCTCTAAGAAGAGCTGAACACACACACCGGAGAAGAATCCCCAGAGCAGCGGTCTGAACAGGCCTTCCAGGCCCATCCAGGGCTCTTCACTCTCCTGTGAAGACAATGAGCCAGAAAGCAGTGAAATGAACTCACCCTCAAGCTGTCTCCAGACAGGAACAGGTTGTAGGGGTTGAGGATCCGTTCATAATGCCCCCTGATATGCGAGCCCACGGCTTTGCCAGGAGCAAACCCCATCTTGGTGGCAATTTTGGTCCATTTTCTGTCTTTGCAAACAACTGCAAATCCACCTTCTTCTGCAACTAACTGTCAAAATAAAACAGTAATAGAAATTAAAAACACAGATATGGAAATCACTTCTAATTCCCTCATGCCTAGGCATGACTCCAAAGACTAAATATTCCTGGCTGGAGTTGCCTTGGGAAATACACCTCCCAAGTCAAAAGAAGAAATTCACGTATTATTAATTTCAAGCTAGAAAATTAAAACACTTCTTTGAAAGAATGGTCCACATTTTGTCCCTCCAAAAGCTGCCTGCTTCCCCAAAGCAGCCACCTTAGGCTCCAGTGACCAGTCCTGCTCCGTGGTTCTTTCAAACTCCATGAGCCAGGAAGCGAGCCCAGCAACATGGTCAGCGTGTCGGGGCCTTAGGATTCCGTGACCCTGGCACTGAAGTATAGTGATCTTTTCAGCTCGGTCACTGTCTTTCTCTCCCTGAGCCTCTGTCTCCCTGTCTGTATTAAATACAAAGGTAATGGTGAAGTTTTTAAAGGACTACAACAGGCAGCAGCAGGACAGTGCACAAGGTAAGGCTTCTAGGCCTACAAGCAGAGTCTGATCACCACAACGCAACTGAGAACCTCACTCCACATATTTCTTTTTAAGGCAAAGAAGATCAAATTCAAGCAGCAGAAAGATTATTAAACAAAATGGCCCTTAGCTGTTTACCTTATTGAGCTGAAACAGGTCCAGGATCTTTCTCTCCACGTGTGGGATTTTCAGAGTGCTTCCCTGTAATTCCCAGTACTTGGCGATCTGGTCCAAGAAATTCAGTTTTACACGAGTCTGAGCCTAAATGACAAAGAACTGAGTTTTAATTTCACCTACCTTGTTTTAAAGCTCCTGCCTACTACCTGCTCATATAGTATTTTCATTCTTAGAATACTTAAGTACAACACCACTTTCTAAATTCAGAGAAACAGCCAAAAGTCTATAAAATAAAGCTGGTTAAAAAATAACACATTAACTCAACAAAAATTTAATTCAACACTTACCACCATATGCCAGGCAAGGTGTTAAACACTCAGTAAACCCTCTCTTAAGTAGTTGCTTTGAAAAGTGCTTCATTTAAGAAGTATTATAAGCACAATTTTATGTTATTGCTTAAAATTATATGACAAGTGAGCTTCTATGCGCCCAGCTTGGTCTCTTTAAAACTGGGTATTTTAAAGGCCTGTTCCTTTAAATAAAAATCTTCTTATTTGCTTAAACACAAATCTAGAGACAGATTTACATTGGTAATTATCAACTGTCATAAAAAGGAAATGATCTTAAATGTTATTCCTTTAACAAATTATTACTGTTCTCCACAAGTCACTTTCTCTCCCCTTCTTGTAAGACACAATTCAGACTGTCTGGGGCGCCCTCCTGCACACCAGATAAAATGGGTCAGTGTCCCGGCGCCCCAGGGCCTTGAGCTTGTGCCCACCTCACCTCAAGTCACAGTGAAATCCCTGAAAACACGTCAGCTCTGCCATCAGTGCCTCAGAATCCTACCAGACACGGTCACGAGTGTGTGATCTGGCTCAGAAAGCAGCAGCCCAACACGAGCAGCAGGCCTGCGGGTCAGCAGCACCTGCACCTGAGGCTGCGTGAAGACCCCCCACACCCCCTCTTCCCAAGGAAGCTAAGGTGTGTTACCACATGTTACCACGTGGAAATTAGGGCTGCAGAAGCTTTCCTACTGCACAGTTCTCAGAGTCCTGCAAAACCTCAATTTAAAAGGATTTTACTAGCCGGCGCCGTGGCTCAATAGGCTAATCCTCCACCTTGCGGCGCCGGCACACCGGGTTCTAGTCCCGGTCGGGGCACCGGATTCTGTCCCGGTTGCCCCTCTTCCAGGCCAGCTCTCTGCTATGGCCAGGGAGCGCAGTGGAGGATGGCCCAGGTGCTTGGGCCCTGCACCCCATGGGAGACCAGGAAAAGCACCTGGCTCCTGGCTCCTGCCATCGGATCAGCGCGGTGCGCCGGCTGCAGCAGCGGCCATTGGAGGGTGAACCAACGGCAAAGGAAGACCTTTCTCTCTCTGTCTCTCTCTCTCACTGTCCACTCTGCCTATCAAAAAAAAAAAAAAAAAAAAAGGATTTTACATGCATTCATGAATAGGCCAAAAAAGACTAACAAAAATCAGTATTTAATGCAAATTTGGTTTGATGCGATGGTCTTGCTGCCATTTGCTCACATGACTAGCATTTATTAGCCCAACTTATGACACCTCTGCAGAGAAGACCCCTCTGAAACACGGGCAACCAGAGCGAGCGAGGACCCTACCTCCAATTCATTCAGCCTCTGGATCCGGGGCGTAAAATGAAGTTTATCAACATCACACGCAAATGGTGGCTGCCAGTCCTAGGAGAAAAGCAAAGGCTCTTCTTAGAAGAATTTATAATTCACATTCAAAAATTTACTTTAAAATTAAAACCATTAAGTAAACTGATATGTAACCAAACAGAACAGAACATAGGGTCGTAGCTTCTCGGTCTTTTTCCCACCAGAAACCAGAAGATGTATGAGCACCCTTTTCCAATAAATGACACATCCCACAACCCTGTACCCAATCCCTTCCAACAATGTCACTGAGCCTCACTGTCGGCTGAAATCACTGATTAAGGTGAAACACTGACTTCTCTCTGACCACAGAAGTAACTATCCATCCATACTTCCATTAACATTAAATTATCTATGAATATTTTCTATGTATTAACCTCCTAGTCACACTGGCTTTTATTATAAAATTAAGAATAAGTTCTTCAGTGGGGAGAAACTGAAACACTGACATCCAGGATGAAATTTAAAAATCACCCTTGAGGGGCTGGCGTTGTGGTGCACTGGTTTTAAGCTGATGCTTGCAACGCCAGCAGAGCTTGTCAGACTACAGGTTTGACACCAGGCTGCTCTGCTTCTGATCCAGCTCCCTGCTAATGCACTCGGGAGGGCAGGATGGCCCAAATGCTTGGGCTCCTGCCACCATGTGGGTTTCAGCCTAGCGCAGACACAGCCATTATAGCCACATGGGAAGAGAACCAGTGGACAGAAGACAATTTGTTTCTCTGTCTTTCAAATAAGTAAATAATGATTAAAAATCATCTTTGGGAGGGCTGACATTGTGGCTCAGCAGGTTAAGTCACCTCTTGAAACCCCTAGCTTCCTGTATCAGAACGTTCGTTCAGCCGCCCAAGTGGGAGATCAGGATGGAGTTCCTGGCTCCTGGTTTTCGCCTGGTCCAGCCCTGGCTGTTGAGGCTATTGAGAGTGAAACAACAGACTATCTCTTTCTGTTGCGCTTTCAAATAAATAAAACTTTTTTTTAATAAAATTTCATCCTTGAGGCCAATGTTGTAGCTTGGAGGGTAAGGCTGCCGCCTGTGACACTGGCTCCCCACCTGGGTGCTGGTTCAAGTCCCAGCCACTCCACTTCAGATTCATTCCTGCTGATGGCCTGAAAAAGCAGCAGAGGATGGCCCAAGTGCTTGGGCCCTGCTACCCATTTGGGAGACCAGGAAGAAGCTCCTGGTTTTGGCCTGTGCCAGTCCTGGCCATTGCAGTCATCTGAGTGCATCCACGAATGGAAGATATCTCTGTTTCTACCCTCTTCCCTCTGTAACTTTAAAATAAGTCTTAAAAAAAATAAAAATCACCCTTGGGGCAGGTATCTGGTACTACAGTCAAAAGAGTGCTTGGGATTGCTTGCCATATTAGGGTCTGGCTTTGAGTGTCAGCTCTGCTTTAAAAAAAAAAAAAAAAAAAGATTTATTTGGAAGGCAGAGGGGTGGGGGAAGCAGAGAGAGAGCTATCTTTCATCCACTGATTCACTCTTCAAAAAGCCGCAATGGCTAGAGATGGACCAATCCAAAGCCAGGAGCCTAGAGCTCCCTCTGGGTCTCCCACATGAGTGAAGGGGCCCGAGCACTTAAGCCATCCTCTGCTGTTTCCCCAGGAGCATTAGCAGGGAGCTGGATCAGAATTGGAGCAGCCACGACTTAAACAAGCGCCCATATGGGATGCTGGCACCACAGGCAGCTGCCTACCCACTATGCCACAGTGCTGGCCCAGCTCTGCTTTTAAGTTAAGCTTCCTGTTTATGTCCAGGTGCTTGGGTCACTGCCATTCATATGGGAGACCCAGACTGAGTTCCTGGCTCCTGGTTTCAGCCTGGCCCAGACCAGTCTGTTTCGTGCATTTGCCAAATCAATCAGCAGATGGAAGATATTTCCCCTTCTTTCTCTCTGCCTTTCAAATAAAAAAATTTTTGAAATATGCAAAAAAAAATATCCTTAAAGAGGGAATGTTTGGCACCACTGTTAAGATGCTACTTGGGGGGCCGGCACTGTGGCATACCGGGTAAAGCCCCCACCTGCAGTGCCAGCATCCCATATGGGCTCCGGTTCAAGTCCTGGGTGCTCCTCTTCCAATCCAGCTCTGTGCTGTGGCCTGGGAAAGCAGTGGAAGATGGCCCAAGTCCTTGGGCCCCTGCACCCACGTGGGAGACCCAGAAGAGGCTCCTGGCTCCTGGCTTTGGATCAGCGCAACTCCTGCCGTTGCGGCCAATTGGGCAGTTTACCAGCGATGGAAGACCTCTCTCTCTCTGCCTCTCCTTTTCTCTCTGCGTAACTCTTTCAAATAAATAAATAAATCTTAAAAAAAAAAAAAGATGCTACTTGTGACACCTGCACCCCCTACTGGAATGCCTGGGTTCAAGTCCCCATTCTGCTCTCACTGCAGCTTCCTGCTGATGTGTCCCCTGGAGGCAGCAGGTGCTTGCTCAAGTGACTGAGTCCCTGCCACCTAAGAGGAGGCCTGGATTGAGTTTCTGGGTCCTGGACATTTGGGGAGAAAATCAGCAGGCAGTGCATGTGCTCGTTCTCTCTCAAATAAGTAAAATTAATACACTAAAAAAAAATGGCAAGTCTTTCAAAAGCCCATCCTTAACGCCTGCTCTTACAGATACCTATTCTACAGAGAATCCCATCATGGAAAAACTTTCATGAAAAAATAATCAGACAAGTGAAAAACATTAAAATCATTATCTACATTGCTGAAAACAAATGTCCCCAGTCAGGGAACAGTTAAAAGAATAAAATCATGCTCTCAACCCAGACACCCATCAGTTGATGACCGGACAAAGAAACTGTGGTATACACAATGGAGTACTATTCAGCCATTAAAAAGAATGAAATCCTGCCTTTCACAACAAAATGGATGCAATCAGAGACCATTATGCTCAGTGAGATAATCCAATCCCAAAAAGACGAATGTTTTTTCCCTGGTTAGTTCTGATATACAAGCCACCAAAAAGCTGGGGGGGGGGGGGGGGGAGGAGTAAAAATGACTTTTTTTTTTTTTTTTTTTAGATTTATTTATTTTGAAAGACCAAGTTACAGAGACAGGTGTGGAGAGAGAGAGACAGAAAGAGAGAGAGAGAGAGAGAGAGATGGAGGGAAGGAGGGAGGGGCAACACCCTGGGAGGCTGACACTCTTTCCTCGTGGCGTTCCCTCCTGTCCAGAGCTGTGCCAATCTGAAGCCAAGAGCTTCTTCCAGGACTCCAATGTGGATGCAGGGGCCCAAGGACTTGGGCCATTTTCTACTGCTTTCCCAAGCCAAAGCAAAGAGCTGGATCGAAGTGGAGCAGCTGGGACTAGAACCGGCCCTCATATGGGATACTGTGCTTCAGGCCAGGGCTTAATTTAATCTAGTACCAGCCCCCCAAAAATGAATGACATTTTGAAATTTGATTATTTTTATAGCCTTGTCTGTACTCTTGAGGAACAGTAATTTTTCTATTTACTACTTGTTGAATTCTTTATTTAATGGAGGGTTAAGCTTGTGATTATAAAGCAAATTGAAAGTATGTCACTGTAAAAATTAAAATAAGAAAGGAAGGAGGAATGGGTGGGAGTGAGGAGGGCAGGGTGGGAGGTATCATTTATGCTCTGTATACAGGAACACTGTGTACAGGAATACATGAAATCTGTTCCCTTAATTTTGTTTGAATTTTATTAAATTTATTTACCTGAAAGGGTGGATATTTATTTATCTGAGAGGCAGAGGCAGAGAGAGAGAGAGAGAGGTCTTCCATTCACTGGTTTACTCCCCAAATGGCTGCAATGGCCGGAATTGCACTGATCTGAAGCCAGGAGCCAGGAGCTTCCTCCAGGTCTCCCACGCAGGTGCAGGGGCCCACAGACTTGGGCCATCTTCCACTGCCTTCCCAGACCATAGCAGAGAGCTGGATGGGAAGTGGAGCAGCTGGGACTCGAACTGAGCCCATATGGGATGCCGGCAGTGCAGGCGGCGGCTTTACCTGCTATGCCATAGCACCCACCGTTCCCTTTATATACATTTATGTATGTGTATAAAATTAAAAAATAGGAAAGCTGGGGCTGGCACCACTTAGAAACACTGATAAAATTTTTTTGATTTCATACTTTTGTAGCTAAAGAGAGGCCAAAAAAAGTAAAACACTTAGCCCCTAGCAATGAAATAGATTATAACCTTTGCTAACATAAAAACATTTGTGGGGCTGGTGTTGTAGCATAGTGGGTGAAGCGAAGCTGCAAACTGCAATGTCAGCATCTCATATGGGCACCAGTTCAAGTCCTGTTGCTCCGTTTCAGATGCAGCTCCCTGTTAAGGCACCTAAGAAAGCAGCACAAGATGGCTCAAGTGCTTGGGCCCCTGTTTGGGCCCACATGGGAGACCAGGAAGAAGCTTCTGGCTCCTGGCTTAGGTCTAGCCCAGCACCAGCTGTTCTGGCCATTAGAGGAGTGAACCAACACAGACAGAAGATCTCTCTAATTCTGATTTATAAATAAAGAAATCTTTTTTTAAAAAATTTGCTTACCAGCTAGATATAATAAAACTCAGACTATAAGTGATGCCATATAAATTCTTTGCTGCATTTTCATTTCCTTTGCTTTTTTAAGATTTATCTGTTTATCTGAAAGTCAGAATTATAGAGAAATAGAAGGAGAGGCAGAGAGAGACAGAGAGGTCTTCCATCCTCTTCCATCTGCTGGATCACTCCCCAGTTGGCCGCAATGGCCATAGCTGCACCAATCTGGAGCCAGGTGCTTCTTCTGGGTCTCTCACGCAGGTGAAGGGGCCTAAGGACTTGGGCCATCTTCTACTGCTTTCCCAGGCCATAGCAGAGAGCTGGATGGGAAGTGGAGCTGCCGGGACTCGAACTGGCACCTTTATGAGATGTTGGCACTGCAGGCAGCAGCTTTACCCACTACACCACAGCACCGGCCCCATCTTTTGCTTTTAAAACTTCAAAATGATTTGATTTTAATCTTTCCCATTGGGTACATGAACCATATTATTAAAAAGCTCACCAAAAAATAATTAAA